ATTTGGAAGAAATCCGTTCGGTATTTATGGATTTATGACTGGGTAAGTTGAAGGTGAAGTTAGGTTTGCCTCTTGAGATCGCGCTTGAGTTCGCGCTTCAGTTCGCTGAAGTGTCGATCCGGTACTGAATCGACACTTTTGCGGACCCGCCTGCGAACTCGCCTGCGGACTCTTTCTGAATTTCCACCAAATACTTCTCCGTCGTAATTTCCATTTGAAATTTATTCGGCGTCATTTCTATGTAATTTTAATTTAGTTTAATATACAACAACTTGAAGTTTCAATTGTTTGTATACATCAGTCTTACTTGCGAAATGATCTATATCACATTTTTTGTTAACAACAATATATCGAGCCGTTGGCACAACTCACCTATTTTTGCTAGACGTTTTATTTCCAGATACAATTTCAGGGCATGAAGGCAACAGCAAGATTCCTTAGATTTTTAATACTTAAAGCCTTAATTTTTATTATGCGTGCAAATGATTGCAATTTATACGCTTTCTGCTTTCACAAGATAGAGTGTGAGGTTGCCACCGTCCGTGCAATAATATGTTAATATTCCTAATAAAAGGTTGAAATCTATTATTCAAGAAAAAAATATTATTTCATATGAATTCAAGTGACAGATGTTATAATACCGAATTATTATGATTATTATTAATGTTACTAACTCCTTAAACTGAAGGTTGCAGTTGCGCGTAACGCGTTACGAACCTGCGATTCTCGCAGTACGAAGCCCGTGCGAAGCGCCGAGGCTAGTCCCTAGTCGAGTAAAAAGTCGACTAGGACTAGCAGTGTCAGTGTGTCTTCTGTGTGGCAGATTGGTCGAACACCAATTGTTTGAAGAATATAATGGATGCGAACGTGTGTTTCATAACCGTATAATGTTACACTTATACGGTAATAAACTCAGACACTGTTACATCTTTAGGTTGTACTGAAAGCCTATACAAACAATTTTCCGTTAGAAAACAAAGATGGTCACCATTAACTTAGCTACGTAAAAGGTTTAAGCTGTAACCCGTAATGATCTGACTTGACAAATCGAAACAAACGCGGATAAATTAGGCAATTCTATGTCAAACGTTTGAAAGCATTGAGTTCAGAATAAATTGTCCATGTTTAGTTTTGATTATATTTTTATGGTGTTTTCTTTGTATAGCTTGCCTGTTTTACAATAATTTAAGGTCCAATTTAGAATGGCTATGGCATGGGGTTGGGCCGTCATCTAAATTTGTATTCGCACAATCGTAGTAAATTGTAAAATGCCTGATCAGTGATTGTACGACGTAAATTTTTCAACTTCAGGTCTCGATTGTGGTATATCTAGAGGTGAAAGCTTTTATTTAATCTGTTAAGTTCAACTGAAAAGATACGAGTCCAAAAATGCATACTAACAGTCAATTGCTCAATCATTTTTTTCCAAATAAGGTCAACGTCATACCTATTACCTACTCAAATTTTATGCAAAACCAACATTTTTCTTTAATTTTTTCTTTAAAGTCACTTTATCATTATTTTTTAGTTATTGACTCACATCAATAACATTTAGTTATTGACTCACAATAGGTCACATCATCTATTTAAACTTTAATAATAATCTTTAAAGTCACTTTATCATTATTTTTTAGTTAGCTATGATGATCTGACTTGACAAATCGAAACAAACGCGGTTAAATTAAGCAATTCTATGTCAAACGTTTGAAAGCATCGAGTTCAGAATAAATTATCTATTGTCTACCTAGCAAGAAGCGATCTGTGACGAACTGACGATAGGTGTTTTGAACCTGCGTCGAATGCCGATTTAGCTGATCTGACTTCTACACCGTCTGTAAAACGAGGTAATGCTGTGTGTTCAAATAATTTTTAATGTGTAGCATCTACGTCCTGCGAGCAGGTGCAGATTCGCTGGACTTGAATAAGTACATGTTTATAAACTACAAGATAAAAGATGGCTAAGAAAACGAGTTTTACAGAAGTAAACCCTTTGGAAAATGCTTCTTACGCTGAGCTTGACGAAATTACCCGATGTGTTCATTTCGATGACTTCAAAGACGCCGTTCGTGAGGAACTACTCGAGCCTCAACCTCTCCGGAACAGTCACAAGCCGCTTCGTCGGAAGGTAAGATGAGGTTCGGATAAAAATATTGGGCATGGATTGGTCTATTCACGTATCGGCAATGAAAATGGTGCCGTTAATTACATATTCGGTAGCATAAGCACATTTTTACCTTGGAATTTATTGACACGTTAGCCTTAGGCGCTGCTCACGATAGATAATTCCTCAGATGCCAATTAACCTTTACTCGGCGAAGTGGTATAATTTAATTTGCTATCATGATAATTCTCAAAATCAAATAATGATCTAAGTGTTATTCATATTTTTAATTCTTCACAACATGAACGTTGAATTGAATTTGATATCTCTATTAAAACAATGATGAAAAGCTAATTTAGCTAAACGGGAATGGAGTTAGGGTAGACATTTTCAAACCTCCATGACAACATTTGAAACGATAGAACAATGTCGTTCATGTTTTCCCCATGCCTCATCTAACGAATAAAGATATAGTTTTATATCCTGGTAATAATCCCAACACGATAGGTATACCGGTACTGTGCATACGCGCTCAAATGGCCTCCAGTACGGTATGAGTCTTGAAACACATGAACAATGAAATTTGCTTAGTAATCCGTGGATTTATTCAGGGCAACAAAAACACGCCGAGTGTTTTAACAAACGGTCAAACAAAATCAATAAAATATATTATCAATTATTGCCTTGCTTCCAGCTTCCATTATTAATAATTGAAAATAAAAGCCCAGGTGCTTATATTTGCCCAGGTGTTTGTATGTAAACTTTTATTTTGTGTGTGTTTTTTTTTTCTCCTCAGGTGCTGTGGTTCGCTCCATCGCTTCCTATCTCCAAGCACAATTTCTACGGCAATGTCAGCTTCACCATCAAATGGGAGACTGTGCTACAGAAACTCGGTCCTAACCTCTACCTTATTGACCAGTCCGTTTATAAGGAAAGAAGTTACACTCGGGTCGTGTTGACTAAGCATAATTATGACGGAGTGCTAACGAGAGTTAACTTGGATGCCGATGGTTCACCCATGAAAAAATCTTGGTTTGGTTTCCATCACGCTTCACGCTGCGACGGCAGAGTCAGCTCTGGCCCTCACGAACTGCAAATAGCGATCGAAGCGGACCAGGCCGATGCAAAGTGGCTTTACTCGGAGTGTAAAGTGGCTGCCAACAATCATTCAGAGGCAAATTCTCATTCTAGACATCACAAGAGGTTTGATGGTAAAGACACAAATTTCGAATCATTCAAATGCTACAAGTTCAATACTGCGCGTAATTGTGAATGTCCCTTCGAGTGGACGCTTGATGAGTGTGAAGAGAACATCGAGAAGATTTTTGAGGCCAATGGAGCATCGACCAGCCGTGCCGGGATGGCTCAGCGTACGGCTCGGCGGTCCGAGATTTCGGATGGTGCGATTTTGTTGGGAGTAGCGGCGGCCGCAACGGCTTTGTTCGCCGCTTGGAGGAGTTACTCCAAAGATTCTAAATGAACGATAAGTCGAAAAATATCTTTGTGATCAGAAGTATTGTTACTTTGATTTGCATGGAATTTTTTTATCATGAGGACTCGAGAGATGTAAACTATTTAATCGAAGTAGCCACAAACTTTTCATTTATAAACTAATGATAGCATTAATTTTAAATCATATTCGTTTCGTTTGAAGTTCACAGGAAACCGATTATTTTACTCCCATCTCCAAAACTTCGTGACTCGTAGCTGATGCCCCGAGCGCTGTTTGCCTATAAGAAAGAAGCATCAAATTCGGATAGCCTTGTGTCTTTCTCTCTTGTATGATGTAACAGAAACAACTAGTATTGATTGTAATTGAACACTGTCATGTTGATCTCCTGGAGCTAAAATGCAACATTTTTTTGTGTGAACTTGCCTGGATTGTCGTAGGTAATTTTCATGAAGTAATAGCGGACATAGGTTTGATTTATTTAAACGTTTTCCTTTGCGAAGATTCAGTGTTTGTTCAATAAATTCACGATTGTTTACTAATAGTTTTCGATAACGAAATGATTTTTAGGGTCGACTGGAATGTTTGTTTCAATCACAAAATTAAGTTGGTAGTCAATACAAATGATATTGTTTTACAAAATTATTTCTATACATCAATCAGTTGCTCTGATGAGGTGAGCAATAACTATAGGTGCATGGGATTTGATAGTCTATGTGCTTACATCAGCTTGGTTTTCAAGTCTCCTGTTTTGAGAGTTATAAAAAGTCAACTCTGATATGTATGAAGTTGTATTAACCACCGCTCGCGTCATCATAGTTACGTATCTGGCCTGGGTGGAGCATAAAGATTGATGCAGTGCCACTGTATTATCTGGCACGATTGCTTCTTTGTGGACGAAAAAACATTGCAACATCCATTGTGAATTATTATTTCTTTTGATGTGTATCTCTTTATTATTTCTTTTGATGTGTATCTCTTTTGTATATCTTCTCTTTTTTCAGCTGTGTATCCGGAATGTATTACTTGCAACATGTATGAATATTATTATTTTTTTGGGGGGGGGTAGAGGAATTCTGTTAAAAAAACACGTGGCGCTTGTTGCTTTCATGAAATGTGCTTTTAATTGAGGTGTTATCATTAATATTTTCATTAAAAGTAGAGGTTTCGTTTCTTTTATTTAAGTAACATCTTTTAGTTTGGAAACGACGAGCTTCATGTCAGCAGACGAACGGATCGTCTCCGTTTTTTATTCAGTTCAAGCGGTTCAAGGTTTATTATAAAATAAAAATTGCTTCCTTTTAAAGAAAAAAGTTAATGCACTGCAGTGGGAAGTCGAAATTGTGAACAGTTGTCTACAGTTGTTTGTTTACGGTAACCCTTCCATCTAATTAGTTTGACAATCAAGTCTTAGTGAAGTTCTTGCTATTGGAGCTCTTGTTATGTGCTATTGCTATCGATAATATTCCAATGATTTTCTGCTTATATTAATTTTCTAATGCGTTGTAGTTTCGTAAGTGGTTGTGGGTATATAAATGAGTCTATTAACATTCGGGTCTTCTTGACAGTTGATTTCCTTTAAGTTGGAATGTATCAACCTGATATATCCTGTCTTTTATTCACTATTAATATTATTATTATTTTTGTTGCTTTTATTCAGTTCAGTGTCCGTTCAATGACTCGTTTCATTTGATTCTTCCAATCCTCTCCTTCAAGAAAATTAGGTATTTGGTGGACGGCGTTGAAATCGCAGAAAATTGCCAGTCGACCGACTTGCTTACTTTTTTATTAGGTAAAACAAGTCGTCGGCTTGAATTGATTATTATAGAGAAAGAATTTACGATTAATTTCAGCTAAAAATAATGTGCCAATAAATTAAAGTCGGACTTGAACTTCATTTGATGGAATGGAAAGAAATTTTGTTGAGAATTTTATAAAATGTGTGACAGAAATTTTTCATGAATAAGCAGTTGTATACAATCCGCGCTGACGATTGTTTGCAACACTTGCCTGAAATCTTTTCTTAATTGCGTGATATGGAGTTTACTGCGCCGCAAACTAATCACACAACAATATGCTACCAGATCAAAGTTGATACGAAGACAAGTATCGTACACAGCTGATGTTCTACTGTGCCCCTAACGCCTTATTCTCGTTACCAGGTTGTCGCAATCATCTCGAGACATTGTCTATTGAGGAAGACTTGTATTATAAGACGGGCGTAGAAGAAACAAATTCTCAGCATTGATGCTTATTACTTGCTAGGCGTTTGAACCTCATACTTTTGAAAGCATTGCAACGACCTGACCGTTCTAGTGGCATTTACAACGAAATAAAACCTGAATTTAGTTTTCCAAAAGACTTAATCAACGAAAAAATTTAAAAAAACGGCTCTGCTGACCGCAAGATCCTGCCTGACGATATTCACGGCAATAATAATATTTACGTACGATAACGATAACATGATAACTTATTTGCCGGTCTAAGTCTGCCTTATCAGTGTGTCAGAATGTACGCTGAGTGGTGGCGAGTAAGGCGTGTTTCCTGCAAATGATATTTGTGGTCAATATCAGGGAAAAGCCTCTTGCAAGTGAAGAATATTAGGTTGGGAACAGTTGAGGACGTGATTCTCGCAATCAATCCTACTTCGCAGTGGGAGCTTGGTATCCAATATTGATAAAAGCGAGAACAATCATTATAATGTTATTTCACTTTTACATTGAAGACAGAGCCACCAAATGAATTTGTGTTGTGATAATGACGAACTTAATTTTAATGAATTAGGTTAGGAAGCTTGGGGCACAGACGAACGCTACTCCTGTGAGTCCCTAAAGCTGAAACATACTTTTGTACTCTGACATACTAAGCCAGGTTGACGAACTAATTAAGCTCTAAGGCATCTCCTTCAGTAGGTCATGAAGGGGACGATCTGAACATCTGTAGCAGAATAATAGGGTGATGATATTTACACAGAGGCAATTGGAAATTATATTGGAAAATCAAGCACAGTTATCAGAATGCTCAACTGGAAGATAGGTAATGCCCTGTTTAAATTGAAAGATTGATGTTAATTATCAATGTCATGTCAAACATTTGATAATGATGAAACAATAATTTATGTATAGATTCAATGAATGTAATTCAAAGTCGACATCACTTTATTCCGTGCAATATAAATATTTACACTGGTATGCGTACATTGCTTACGTTATCCAAAATGCTGCTCGGATTTATTCAGAAATGGAACTATGGATTAATAAACATAATTCATTAAAAATCTAATTAGCATTTAATTCATCTTCAGGTAATATTTCTTTAATTATAACGAATCAGGAATTTATTGAATAATTCCGACTTTATTTTTATATATTTTTAATTCATAATGATTTACTCAATTAAGCAAACTGATGTTTCTCACTCGACTCTAATTGAAATCTTTCATCTTGTGTGATTAAGTGCAAGCCTCTCAAAAATTTCAGTTATTGCCTCATAACTTTCGATTATATGGACTTAGCACTTTGAAATTTGTACCAAACTTTGAGGCGTCTGCTATTGTCAGTGCTCAAAAATTTCTGGCTTGTATTGCTATTTGATTTTAACTAGGAAGCTAATTTATGCAAAATTAAAATAAAAATTAAAAATTAAAATAATAAATAATGTTGAATTAACATGTTAAATTAACACCAAAGTTGAAAATAGTGTTAAACGTAAAGTTTAGGTAGGGCAAAAATGAAATAGCTAAAATTGTTTACTTATCTAGTAATGATGACGAAAATTTCTAAAAACAGCGCCCAAGAATTTATACCTAACTGAAAAATTCTCTAAATGGATTTTAACATGAAAGAGATGTCTGATCACCTTTTCTGTTTCGTGCCATTGTGATAGGTCCTGATTTACTGTGGAAAAAGTTATGAGGCCTAGTAATTTATTATAAATTACAAATTCTAATGGGTGGGTTAATGAGTAAATTTTCTCGTCCGTAACACATATATTATTAATATTTTGTCCAATTTGAATACCATAAATTAGTTGAGAAAAGATGCCAGTACAGTAATACCTCAACTTACGAATGCCTCTATACATGCGAACTTGCTCACACGAACCGGAGGTTCGAGATTTTTACTTCCGGATACGAACATGTCTCTTCTTACGCAATGATTTTCGGTACCGATTCGGTGCTATCGAAGCGATTAGGTGCTGGATTTGATTTAAATTGTGATAATACACATTAAATACCTATATTGTTGGTATTTACACATGCGAACATTTTCTCATACGAACTCAGTCACGGAACGAATCGAAGTTCGTAAGTCAAGGTATGTTTGTATTTCCGTATACTTAACCTTACTAACCACCATTCTAACTTTTCCCACGCCGTGCAATTAATAGTGCATCTTGTACCCATCGTGCTGTGGATATGATCCATTAAAAATGGTCTTGAATACAAGTTTCCAAATTGTGAAGCCTCTGGAGTTTCCTCTACATGCCGATCTTGATGAGATCAGCCGGTGCGTTCATTTCGATGACTTCCAGGAAGCGGTAAACTATGAAGCTCTTCTGCCGCAGCCGCTCTCCAACAGCCACATGAGACTCCAACAACGGGTACAAATGATATATTATTTTTGTGCAAATTGGGATTCTAATGAAAATAAAATAAAATTTTAAAATCAGAATTATATCAAATGATTAGTTTGCCGATTGCCGTGAAATTTTTAACGATTATCGATTCTATTGTGTACAAGAAAATATGCCTTGAGTCGCATTTTCAATTTGCGACATTACTTGATCAAATGACTATTTCAGAGTGTGTGGGCCATCCAGTAACATTAATTACCTATTCATATTTTTAAATGACAGTCAAACTGCTTCCTGATTTTTATACCAACAAATGAAATAATGGTTCCAGAAAATCGTTAATGATCATTAATTATAGCACAATCGTCTTTATTCTATCGCCAATTGCTTAGCAATAATAATGCGAAGCACACTAAGACAAACATGAAACGATAACATGTTAACATGAGCGAATTAATGAATTCTTTGAATTTTTTATTTCGCGTTTTTTTTTTCTTCTCAGGTGCTGTGGTTCGCACCATCGCAGGCCAGCACGGAGCACAATTTCTACGGCAACGTCAGCTTCACCATCAAGTGGAAGACCGTGCTACAGAAACTCGGTCCGAACCTCTACCTCATCGACCAGGCCATTTATAACGCCAGAAGTTTCACTAGAGTCGTGTTTACTAGAAATAGCTATGACACAATACTTACGAGAGTGGATTTAGATTCTGAAGATTCGCCCATGACGAAAACCGAGTCTGGTTTCCGCCACGCTTCGCATTGCATGAACAAAGTTCGCTGGGGTCCCCACGAGCTGCAGATCGCGATCGAAGTTACCGATGACGATGCCCGGTGGCTATACTTGAACTGTAAGCCGGTGGCCAACAATCATTCCATGGCGAACGTTCCCAGCTTTGGAGAACACATCAGAACGGATGGAAAAGAATCGAAATTTCTTCCCTACAAATGCTTCAAGTTCAATACTGCTCAAAATTTGGAATGTCCTTTTCCGTGGACCAAATCTGAGTGCGAGATGAACATACAAGTGGTATTGAAGACTGGAGTTTCTAGCAGGACTCATTTTAGTACGAAAGAAATCACGCATTCTACTAAGAAAAATGTTAGCTTCATTCCATCCCCTGTTGTAGCGTCACCACGTTTACCTTCACGCCCTGCTACTCGCGTTAAATCATTACGAATAGCACCACGACCAAGAGCCGATGATGGCTGGAACCTGACTATACTGCTTGCAGTAGTAGCCGTCTTTTCGATTTTTGCACTGGAGTTTGTTTTATATCCCCTCTTACTTTTTACAGGTTTTTTTAAATGATGATGTATAATAAGAAATATTATTCACTTCAAAATTTAAGGTGGCCTCTCGCTCCACCCCCTCCCCCCGGAAATTATTTTGCCGTAGAAGTAAGAAGTTGACCGTCCGAATTCAGTTACTTTTAATCAATAAAACTAAAATTTATTTTCTGCCGCGTCACATTGGATTAGTTTTCAATGCACATTCCATATGAAATTGTTCCCACACTGTGTCTCGTATGTCCTCAAATACCTTACAGTTGCAAGTTCAATTTTATGTAGTATATTTTGTGTGACTGGTAATCCGGCTTCAGCTTACAAATTATTGTATGAATTAAATTCTGATAAAGTTTTAGATCAGCGACCCCGATGCCTCATAACAAAAGAAGAAACGTCAATTAATTCATTGAGATAATCGATAAATAAAGGGTCATGGCTTCCCAAGACGCGCGTTTAGAAGAAGATCGAAGCTCCGATATTCTCACATCTAAAATTACCCAGAGAAGTATTTGCTTGTACAATATTTATTCCTAAGTTTTTAGTGTTTAAAGCGGTTTAAGGTTTTAAGGTTCCATTCCCATATTACTCCTGCCAGATCAGTTGTTTGAAATACCAATCTGAAATTCAATCGTCTGAAAATAAATGAAAATTTCAAGAAAATATCATAAGCTTTCAAATAGTGACATACCGATCACGGTACAAATAATATATGGAGACACGAGTTCCGAAAGTGTGTTGGGTGCTGGGCGCGCGCACTCACAATCAACCACAAACATTGCAAATTGACCGTTACGTACAACCAAGCAAATCGCAAACATGAATCAAGTTCTATTATCTTATGACATGAATATAACACAACTCTAGCGCCTTTCACACATACCTCCACTTCGCAGCTAGTGACATATGACAACGATTGTTATCCGCATCATCAAAGAAAACACAGCTACAATCATACTGTAAACATGTTACGGATCAACACCCGATATAAAATGCACGCGAAAATTGGAATTACTTAAAAATTTACGAATAAGATACCTAATTCTTTTGATTCTTAAAACGGGAACACAGTTGACAGAACACAGACTATGGAATGGCTGTAGAATAAAATATATAACCTACATTACCACTCATTTGTACAACTCACTACCTTTTTGGGTTCTTTGGTTCGCTCCAGCCCACTGGAGCTCCCAGCAAAATTTGTACGGCAACGCCAGCTTCACCATCAAGTGGGAGACCGTGCAACAGAAACTCGGATTGAACCTTTACTTGATCGATTAAAAGATATGTAACCTAACGGCAAACTTTAAGCAACCCAGTGACGCCAATTTCAATGAGCTTATTTACTCAGCCCGCACCTAAAGTCAGTTTGTTTCAGGTTCTTGACGACGGTGTCGGTTTAATCAGTCAAATAATTCCTTTTGCGACAGCGCTGTATTAGAACTTCATTCTTTCTGAGTCCTCATTCGCGTCGCGTCACCTGATATTCTGCTAGCGAGAACTACAAGTGCATCTCTGCATTTAGCTTCGTCATTAACCTTTCGACTGCAAATTCCACTCCTAAAATAAGTGGGCTGCGTTGCATCACTCTATTAGTCTCTATATCACAAATTCATTCGGAGTGACTCAGAGCGGAATTTGTAAGGAGTTGACCGAAGTTATCGTTATCGTTTTCGACAAATGCGTCATCATTGATGATAGATTGACTGTGCAGTGTATCGGGGACAATGGCTTGTGTTGGTGAGTATGAGGGCGAGCTGTACGTGGTCTTAATGAGCACATTTGGTAATTATGAGTATATTTTTGGTGAATTTTTCAGGAAATTGTGATGAGATAAAAAAACAGTCATTAAAATTGGTAAAATTTGTAGCAAGGTCCTGCAGGATGATGAAACACATTAAAAGTTGTGAATGCTAGGAATGAACGCTGCATATTAAGCTGTAATGAAAAATCTATAAAGAATTATGAAGCTTGGAGAGCTTCTGGAAGTTGGTTGATTTCGAAAAGTTAAAATTGTAACCCTTTCTGACGTTTACCATATTTGATAAGTTCGTGTAATCACTGTAGAAGTGAAGACTAATTTCGAAAAATATTAAATATTCCCTCTTCACACATTTTCACTTCTACCTCAAGTTAGAAATAAGTGGTAAATAATTGAACCGAAAATGGTAAGGACGTGCTATCAAACCACGAAGCCTCTAGTCAATCCCACGTACGCTGATTTGATTGAAATCAGCCGATGCGTTAATTTCGACGACTACGAAGAGGCGGTGCGCCTGCAGATAGATGATTGTGCCGCAGCTGCTCACCAAGGGCCACAAAAGCCTCAGGCGACGGGTACGTAAAAGTGATACGGCAATTCAGAACGATTGGCTATATTTCTCATTATTGACGCAATTGGTTTTCATTGACTCATCAAGTTCTTATCAAATCCGTTCGACCTATGATTTCTTTCTAATGCCACAAGCAAAATTTCTCAATTCGCGATTGGAGCAAAACATAGGTAGCACTTCTGGCTTTCATTCTCTAGTAGCTAATTTATTAAAATCAATAACGATAAATTCGTTTGGCCTGAATTTGAATCCCATTTTCTCTAGTGGAACTTATTAAACCAGTAATGGTTTCTAAGTGTGAAAGAGAAATCTGGTCCAACGCAATTAACGGACATATTTTTTACGATTTCCAATATTTTCAGGTGCTATGGTTTGCAGCTTCTCATTTGAGCTCGGAGCACAATTTCTACGGCAACATCAGCTTCACCATCAAGTGGGAGACCGTGCAACAAAAACTCGGGCCGAAGCTCTACCTTATCGATCAAGAGATTTATAATGGCAGAAGTTTCACTCGAGTGCTCTTCACCACGAAAAATTATAATAAAATATTGAAAAAAGTAGATTTGGCATTACATGGTTCACCCTTGATGAAGAATGAGTCAGGTTTCCACCTGCACGCTTCGCACTGCATGAACAAAGTTCGTTGGGGTCCTCACGAGCTGCAGATCGCGATCGAAGTTACCGATGCCGATGCGCGCTGGCTTTTCTTGAACTGCAAGCCTGTGGCAAACAATCATGATAAAGCTAACGTTTCTAGTGGCAAAAAACACACCAGAAGGGACGGAAAAGAATACCTGTATCAACCCCACCTATGTTATAAGTTCAATTCTGCTCAAAACCTCGAGTGTCCCTACCAATGGACGCCCTATGAGTGCGAGCGTTACCTAAGGGCGATACTGGATTTGCCTGTTCGAGATTCCAGGTCTAAATTGTCATTAGAAATGTCTTCCGTAACAGCGAATAAAAATTGTAATCGTATGCGTCCCGTCTCTGCTGAAAAGCCATTAAAGACACCTCCCAATCCAGTTGCTCGAGTTCCAAGTTCGCCACATCAGTGTGCAATCTCTGTCTCACCACATTCAGCAAAAATAGAAACACCACCCAACTCGTTTTCAACCTCTGTCGCACCAATTTCAGCTTCAGTCAAAAGTTCCCCCCGTGAAGTCTCAAGTCATACCGGAACTTCAATGCCGTCACAACAGAAGTTTCCAGTTCCTACAGTTCGATTTCCAACTTCACCAAATTCGTCAGCAACCTATGCTTCATCACATCCTGCTCAAGTTGAAACACTACTTCCTTCGTTTTCAACCTCTGCTGCACCAATTTCAGCTCCGGTACAAAGTTCCAAACGTACTCTTTCAAGTCATACTAGGACTTCTGCACTACCTACAGTTCAACCTTCTGTAGCAAAATCACCCCGAACACTTCCAACTCCTGCTGTAAAATCCGAACGTTCTCATTCAGCTCGAGTTAAAATTCCATCAAAAAATTATTCCACTCGTCTTGCGACTTCGCCGAACATACTTTCAACTTTTGCTATTCCTTCACAGCGTCCAGCTCCAAAGCCCGGGGTTAAGAATGGCTGGAAGTCATGCATATTACCGGCAGTATACATATTGCCTGCAGCCCTGACTGTGTTTCTGGCAATAAGAATCTACTTTAGACAGTCTTCTCGAGCCTCCTTTACAAGAATAGGCAATTCCAGAATTGAATTTTTTTCAAATGCGCTGCATTACAATTATGCTCGTGGCATTTCGGGGTTCAGTGGTATTTTCCATCGTTTAGGTAATCGAGTAGATGCTCAAAATTATTGGGCGATATTTTGGTTTGCGCAATAATACCGAGCGCCTCAGGGTATAAGGTTGTAAATTGAATTCTAGAAGGCACCGATTGGAAACACGCGACAATATAGAGATAGACCGGGCCTTAATTAGACCAGTCGTTACGCAGCAGTACTCCTGTGAGCAACCAATTTCTAGGCATTGTTGACGATAACTATTACGCCTTCACTCGCTTTGGTTTCTAGTCAACTTACCCTGCATGCCTCTACTGTTAAGATGTTCCATTCAATCAAATTAAGTTAGACAATAAAACCTGCTGCACATATGTGATATTCAGTGGCTATTGAGTGGTAATAACGCGATTCCATTATTAACGTGCTTAATTGATTAGTCTCGGTCAGTTCATAGGTATTATTATTTTTAATGTGTAGGGTTGCGGATTTCGCGTGGGCTGGACTCGAGGTCGTACTCTCCAAGCTCGTCCTGGAAACTATTCGTGCTCTCGTGTTCACCACGTGGACCGACTTCTCACTCGGTGGAACAGAAAAGAGCCGCGAACCTTTAGGTGTCAAGTAATCACAGATCATTAGAAGCGTTAGAATACGCAGCTAATGTGCCAAATTGTTTAGTGTACTGTATTATCAACGTATTACTGTAAAATTTGCCTCCCGTTTTGATTTAAGTAAATTGTTGGGGTTGTATCCGCGTGAGTGAAACGAACGAATATTATGTCATTTTTTGAAATTTTACCCAAAATGTAAGAATTTTTTATTATAAGTACAGTACCGAAATGGATAATATTAATATTAAGCGGCTGCATGAGCGACGTTGCGTCATATTCAGGTGGGCTCATGCTAGCGATCTATTAATCAATACCGATCAAAAAAGTCGAAAAACTTTCAGAAATTGTGACGCTTTCAATGAACTAAAGATTATAAACTTGATTAAATGTCTTAAGTTACCTTTCGAGGCACAAATAAATCTACGTGACAGAGATTCAATGAGTACATTGGAGATTTTTTTCTAGTAATTTTATGCAATTAATAAAGCCGCTATTATACGTATTAAAAATCTCTTGCAGCAGGACGAAATTCTACAGAATCATCCTCAAGGAATTGAAAAGCCTCGAGAGCTTATAGAAGTTTGTCGATGTCCGAAATGCCAGTTTGGTAATGAGTAAAAACCCAAGTGTCGTCTTTTATTTTGTAGTATAGGATGAACACACATATGCTCTACACAGATAGTGGTATTAAAGAGCACTTACGGAAAATATACGTTAAATTTCCGTTTCGCTCTTGCAAAATTGCAGCTCAAGTTAAAGGAAATTCGTAAATTATTTGATCTTAATTGTAAAGGGGACTTCAACTTTTAATAATAACAATGATATCCAAAGTATTCTCATTTACCCACTATACATGCAAGGTTTTTATGTTCTGCAAATATTATTACGTAGGAGATACAAATTAATGAATACACACCAATCAAAAATTAGAATTGTTAAGCCCTAGTGGCTTAGGCGAAATTTCGACAGTCACGTTTCGAGGAGTTTTATTGAATAATCTTGAAAACATAGTTTCTGCAAGTAAGGCATAAAAATTAGCTATCTAATACATCAGAAAAACAAATAAGCAAAATTAAATCCAAAAAAATATCATATCAGAATCAATAATGAAAGACTAATAAATTGCAGCACTAAACTCATCAGCACTTCGCCACTAAAGGAGGTTTGAACTACGAGTGACAATTTATCTACAGGTAAACTTCGTTCGGATGACTGAAGGTCTTAACAGAAAGGTTACGTGAAGCGTACATGTGAAAAATTGCGATTACAAGAATCATGATCTACCTTGCCGGCTGCAAGTTTTATTTTTTAACATACTGGGCTGCATTGCATCACTCTATATCTTAAATTCGTTTAAAGTGACCTACAGTGGAATATTTTGGGAGATGACAGTAGTTATCGTTATCGTTTTAGACGAATGCGTCACCATCAGCGAGCATATTATGTAGACATGCAGCGCAGTGTGCCAGGATGAACGGTGCTTGATGGTGATCGACTACGGAAGTAGTGCATCATATTTATTATGACATTATCTGATCACACATTACGCTTGCAGATTGATCAATATAATATTAAATCAACCTATGACTGAAAACTCTAAATATTAAATTGGCAAGCGAGTCAACTTAATTTATATTAAATTGGTATCTGTTGTCAACTCGATGGCGCTTTATTCTCTTAATCGGCAAACGTTAAATGAAAATGAATATGCCCGTAAACTTGAGAAATTACATAGCACGACAATCTTCGCTTGACTAATCGAATAATTCGACGACGTACGCATCATCGATGCCAGGAAATTTGACTCATCTATCGTGAATCACGTAATGTGAAACTTGATCGCGAAAATCATGAATGGGCATGAATGACTTTTTGACTAAAAACCGTAGCGCAAGACCATCTTGTGTATTTAAAACCTGCCACAATGGTTTATCAATATTGTTGTGCACGATGCGCATCTGCGTAGTACGTCGAGATGACGTCACGCAATCTTTATTCCAGGGTCTCTGAGCATAAGGGCAGGAGCTGTAGAACCGGACAGTTGCTATCGCGCCCACCTCATTCAGCTGTGCGCGCTCACGCCGAGCAGTGCGATGTCCCTATTTCTGACAGTGACTTTAGGGTGTTAGTTTCCACCTCCGGGAATTCCGATTTGCGCATTTTAGAATCACTGTACATCTTTAAACTTAGGCCCAGTTTGGATTCAGCAGCTAGCTCCTATCCCCTTGAAATTGTTAATAGATAGTTATTTTTTTTTTTTTGCTCCGTCTATTACTTGTAAATTTAGGTTTTTCATTTCGTTCTGTGCTTTCAATTTATTAATTTGTGACTTCTGATTTGTGATTCTAGATTCTACGAACTGACGATGGAGCTGGTCTCCGAAACGTTTTCTATAAAGATATGAATTTTTGTGGACTTTTCTTTGCTTTTAAATTCTTAGTTAATTTGCAATTTAAGCAAACAAGTGATATAAATTCAAAACAAAATTCAATATATAAATCAACAAAGCGTTATACCTCTCTGCTGCACTACTTAGTGCAATAGAGTTCTTCATAATTATTCAGAAGACCTTGAGGAAAGACAATGTTAACGCACGCAACCATGCATATGTAAACATCTACACTAGTAACACTAGTTAATGTTTGATAATAATTCGGTTTATATCATAGAGACGGCAGTTTTTGAGCACTATCACAACAACGCTTGAAGAGGATATGTTCAAGTGAATCGTGACACAAGTTGTCTTGAAGTTTCTGATATGCCTCTCTTCTTGACACCAATCCTCTTCTGACTTCCTGTCATATTCTTCTCAGTACAAGACCAAAGCTGGCTCGGCTTGACAAGCTCCTGACTGGGGCTAGCGTAAATGACGGTGTGGCTTTTCCTGAACTCTAAGCCGGTTGCTAGCAAACAATATACGAACGCACATATTTTTGCTGAACATAGAATAAGAATAGAAACTGCTTGAATTCTAGTCTTAGCATTTCTGCAACTGCAGTGCAATATAAATATCTCTTAGAAGTTAGAACATAGAACGTCTCATCAAAAATATGCCCCAGCAAAGGAGTTTGAGCCGGCATCACTGTGGCAGTTAAGACAGATAGTCTGAGTGCCAAGGAGCGTACGATAACTCCACTCAGTATCAAAATACAGAAATGGTTTTCATTGCTTTTCAGCTCATCATCATTTGTTTGATCGCTTAATAATTAAATATTTCACCAATTCGAGTTGATACTTCGGCAAACCTTTTCACCATTTATCGAATGAATTACGATTCAAGATGAGGAGAACCCAAAATCAAGAACGAATTCATTTGCTGATTTTCCATTTCATAATAAAATCTCGAGGTAACAGATTTATAAAGGTTTCGGTTAATAAAAGTTAATAGAGTCACATTTTTCGTTTTACTTCGAGTTATCATTGCATACGGCTAAAAAAAATTAATAGTTCAAAATTTGAGGATCATCATTGCACAATATGTGAGAAGATGATCGACACACTCGTCCGTAATTTACCTGTTTAAACCAATGGAAAAATGAAGGTGAAATTTTGTCGAGAAATTTGCACGTACTTCTTCAAAAGCGCACGTACTCGGCACTCACTGCAGTGAGTGACAGGGAGCTCATTTTCTCGTTGGCGAAAACTTGAAGTCACGGACTGACAGACGGACAGGCGGACGGACGGACATGACGAGCACAATAGCGCCTTTTTTCCATAAATGAGAAAATGCGCTAAAAATGTATCCGTACTTGAAAAATGTGCACGTATTTCTTTAAAAGAATACACGCAGCTGTCTGTTAAATTTAATCTAAATCTCACTCATTTATCTATTTTTAATGCTGCGATCAGATAAACAGCATTGACGCATTACCTGTCAAGTTGCTACGTATATGACGTTTAACCAACTTATCGTTCGTCGAGTTCTGTTGTGCCGAGCACAGATTGTGTAATCGGTGTTGCAGTAGTTTGCATGATAAGTTTCGTGTAATCTTTGTCTGTGTTTTTTTTGCAGAAATTTGAATAATATAAAGAAAATAAAGCATTTAAATAAATTATTGACTTTCAAAACGAGAAAAACATCGGTGAAGAACAATCGAAACATGTGAAGATTTCCAGAGAAGAGAAATTAAAATTTTGATACGTTAATTTGAGGTTCATTTTTCAGGAATTTGTGCATGAATAATAAGTTTCGTATGTCGATCGTAGAAAATTTCGGAAAACTAACACTAGGGAAGAGATAATATCAAAAAACTTCATTGTTTTTTAGCTGCATTAAGCTATGCAGAATCATCTTTAAGTTATTAACTAGCATGAAAACCGTCGAAAGTTGGTTCAAGTTCGAAGTAATGTCAATTTGTGTTTCCGGGTTTGATACGAATATCAGGAACAACAGCCGCAGAAATTATTATGTTCACCTTTGCGACATCATTACTAGATATTCAAGATCAAATGGGAGAAAATAATATTTCCACTGCACTAATGTCAAGTTGAAGCTGAATTTTGTTAAGATTAGGGAATGACTTAACCGAAAATGATAAAGAGAACGTGCTATCAAACCGCGAAGCCTCTAGTCAATCCCAGGTACGCTGATTTGATTGAAATCAGCCGATGCGTTCATTTCGACGACTTCGAAGAGGCGGTGCGCCTGCAGATGATTGTGCCGCAGCTGCTCACCAAGGGCCACAAAAGCCTCAGGCGACGGGTACGTTTGGGATATTCGGCAACTCAGAATAAATTTTTAATTATTGGTGTATTTTTTCGATCAACTTGTGCAATGTGCTGTATTGTTAATATCCATGAGACGTCTGAATTATTTCCGAGTCATTATGTGTTCCTAGACACTACAACCTATACTTTTCACAGCGTAATCAATGATTGTTTTACATTTGGGCAGTAAATTTACAATATTTCCTATTTTCAATCTTTGCATCGTAAAATAAAATTTTTGCCATAAAACATAATTAATTCGCTAGATGCTATTCTAAAATCTATTTACTCAATTGTAGCGTAATAATCCGAACAGGAGCAATGTTTTATAAGATGATGCCGTCACATGACAATGGATTAACAAGATTTATGTATTATTGTTATTATTTCTAGGTTCTATGGTTCGCAGCCTCTCATTTGAGCTCGGAGCACAATTTCTACGGCAATGTCAGCTTTACCATCAAATGGGAGACCGTGCTGACGAAACTAGGACCGAACCTCTACCTTATCGACCAAGAGATATATAATGGTAGAAGTTTCACACGAATTATATTCACCCCAAAAACTTACGACGGAATATTGAAAGAAGTTGATCTGGATTCAAATGGTTCACCTTTGATAAAATCTGATTCTTGTTTCCGCCATGCATCGCACTGCATGAACGAAGTTCGCTGGGGCCCTCACGAGCTGCAGATCGCGATCGAAGTTACCGATGCTGACGCGAGGTGGCTTTACTTGAACTGTAATCCAGTGGCCAACAATCATGATAAAGCGAATGCTTATTGTGGCAGAAAAATTACCAGGAGGGACGGAAAAGAATCCTTGTATCAGCCTCACATTTGTTATAAATTCAATTCTGCTCAAAACATTGAATGTCCCTACCAATGGTCTCCCGTTGAGTGTGACCAGTACATCCAGAAGGCATTGAAGAGCGCTGTTCCGACGGCTTGCTGTTCCAGAATGAGACCAACACCTCAAAATTATGTCGGCCTAGCACTAACTGCTGAGTCTTCAAAAATAGAGCCTAAACAACATAGGAAAGTAGGAAATTTTACTAACTTGGACTGCGGCTTACAGCGTCCTGCAATTGCTTTCCAGCCGCGAAAAGTGAAGCAACAGAATCGCAAGTCAGAGATAAGGAAAATTTACCCATCGGCTGCGCATGCTAGTTCGTCTTACATCGAACCCATTCATTCAACACACCATGCCTTCGATACTCGATCGCGCGAGGCCAAACAACTAAACACAATATCGAGTGTTGAAGCATTTGAAAACCAACAATCAAATTCCAAAAAGGGAGCGAAAACTTTTTATGAAACTGTTAAGCCTCTAGACAATCCCACGTACGCTGATTTTATTGAAATCCGCCGATGTATTCATTTCGATGACTTCGAAGATGCCGCCCGACTGGAAATGCTTGTGCCACAACCTTACACCATGGGTCGCACAAGTCTCCAAAGACGGGTACGTTAATAATATAAGGTCACTTAGGATGTAAGTCACTTTCATGTCTTAAACTATTGGGGAAATGATGTTCGATTAACCCTGAAATAGTTATCACACAATCGAAATTTCTGCATTTCATTTTTGTTAAAATATGACACATCAGACATTCATTAATGTCTGAAGGAAAGCACTTCATATATTGATCCTAATTTACTCTATATCTACATAACTGCAATATAAAAGAAAATTGATTAAACATTTTAATTACACTGGTTCCAATCACTTCATGAAAATCCAAGCCCATGCACCTGCCTATTTAATTCTAAATTGTTTTTCTGTGCAGATTAAAAAACATTCTTTTAATTCCATCTATAAACATTTTCCCGCTTATTAATTCACAATATATTTTTAACAGGTATTATGGTTTGCAGCCTCTAAATGCGGAATCGAGCACAATTTCTACGGCAACGTAAGCTTTTCCATCAAGTGGGAGACAGCACAACGCAAACTAGGACCAAATCTTTACCTTCTTGACCAAAAGTTTCATAACTCAAGGAGTTTTACTCGATTAATCCTTACCAAAAATAATTACAGCAGTATATTGGATGAGGTTGATCTGAATTCAGATGGTTCACCCTTGACGAAATCCGAGTCTGATTTCCGCCACGCTTCGCATTGCATGAACAAAGTTAGCTGGGGCGCTCACGAGCTGCAGATCGCGATCGAAGTGTCTGATGTCGATGCGCGCTGGCTTTACTTTAACTGCAAGCCGATCGCCAACAATCATGTTAAAGCGAACGGTTCTAGCGTCAGACAACACACTAGGTGGGACGGAAATGTATCACTGTACCAACCTCACACTTGTTATAAGTTTAATTCTGCGCAAAACAGTGAATGCCCATACCAATGGACCAGCTTTGAGTGTGAGCTGAACATCCGACGAGTAATGAAGAAGGCTGATCCAATTACTAGCCATTCCGGTATGAGATCACTACCTCAAAATACGGTAAGATACCAATACCTCGATGTCGGCCAATCACTTCCTGTTGAATCTTCACAACGAAATCCCAACACTCAGGGAGAAACAGGAAACATTATTGGATGGAACTCTGACTTGCAGCCTCCTGCCACTGTGCACATGCCGCGACATGGAGAGCAACAACACTTGCAAACAACCAATCGGAATAAACAGGCAAATATCAAAGGGATTGCCAAATCGTCTTCACATGCTCGTCCGTCATCTACCCTTGCAAATGTCGGCGATTTACCATATATACCATGTAAAGCTTCCCAAAGTAAGCCCAAAGTGAGTGTCGAGCGACCTGCAAAACCACAATTTAAAGCTAATCGTACTTCTAAAAGTACTTACAACGACCGGCTAACCCGACGCTGTCAGTCACCAAGCGTTCCTATAACTCATCAACCTTTGCTCAGGACGAGAATTGAAACTTGTAGTTCGATTGCACCAGCAATTTCAACAGATCAACTTATAACTAGACATGGTACCACACCAGCGTTGACGAACACAAGCTGGTCTCCATTCAAGATTTTTTTGGACTGTTTCTGCTGCCGTAACCGAAGGAAAAATTCTATTTGAAGTGGTTAAGCGGGCCTTTTCCTACAATAATTATTTAGCTAACCGTATGAAATGATTAATATGGCTCTAGTTATAATGTACGAGAGTCATCCGGAAAGTAGTACCCGTTTGGGAATTGAACAAAAGGAAGTAAATATTAACGAATGTAAACATGTTTATTGAAAAGAACATGTATTACACTACTGCATCTCTACATATTTTCCGGACAAGTTTAAGCATTTGTCGTATCGTGTCACGAGTTTTTGTTTACCAGTGTCATATTGCTGCGCCGCCAATGTTTCTGGGATCGGCAAGGTGGAGTGCTCATCGATTTCATGACTCGTGGAGACACAATCAATGCCAAAGCGTATTGTGCAACATTAAAAAAATTATAGCGGGCAATTAGAAATCGACGGCAAGGTCTGTTGTCTACTGGCGTCATTCTCCTGGGAAATTTTCAACCATCCACCCTACAGTCCGGACTTGGCTCCTTCAGATTTTCATCCGTTTACGAAATTCAAGGACTTCGTGGCAAGGACAAAGTTTCAAAATCGTGACACGATACGACAAATGCTTAAATTTGTCCGGATATTATGTAGAGAAGTAGTGTAATACATGTTCTTTTCAGTAAACATGTTTACATTTGTTAATATTTACTTCATTTTGTTCAATTCCCAAACGGGTACTACTTTCCGGATGACCCTCGTACCCACAGCCCCATGTATTTCTTACTGCACTATAATGACTCCAAAGCTTGCTTCTTCTATAAGGGCCTAGCAACTCCAAATTACATTGGTAACAAAGGATATATTATTCGACGTATCTTATAAACAAAGCAGTGAGAATATTTTTGATGAGCTCTGAAATTTTCTGTGAATAAATTCCAACAAATTATCTAACTAGCTTGGAATTAACTTCATTGATAACATGAGTATAACACATAGACATGTAATATCTAATATATAAAGAGTAATGGAATTAACCCGTAACTCTTATAATATATGTACATATATATGAAACATTATAATATAATATACATATATCAATCCGTAACTCTATGGAATAAATCCGTAACTCTACGGTCTAATGACGCCAATAAAAGAGCTGCTCAATTACAACGAAGTGCTCCTTGTTTGGTCAAGCTTGCACTGAGCGTTTGGAATTTAATGAGTCAAGGCGCTGTTTGTCTCTCAAAAGACGGCTCTTACCAAGTACTCTCTAGCATTAATTCATAGCCTCATCCATAGCTCTTTCCACATTGTCAATTAATTAATACTGTACCTTATTTTTTAATCTAAGAAAATCTGACTTTACCTTCTCAATATAAGATAAACACTCGAGCTAAAATTCCTCAGAAGCAACACCTTGCACTATCGTAACATAACTATTAGCTATGCAATTCATAAGTACTTGAATAATGGCTTGGTAGAGGTTGATTTGTGAGGCTATTTACATTATTTCCTTGTCTCTTTTAGATTTTGTAAGCTTACGACACGCGATGCATGTGAGGTGGTTTACTCTACTGTGAAATTCCATGTCCTGTATAATCGGAGACCTGCAACAGCTTCTTGCATATTTTTTCCCTGGCAGCACATGAATGGCAATAAAGTAAACGGTACAGTTAGCAATAAAGTAAACGGTACAGTTAGCAATAAAGTAAACAGAACAGTTAGCAGAATACTAAACAGTACAGATAGCAGTAAAATAAACAGTACACTAAACAGCCAATACGCAGCTCTCGCGTATCCAAAACCCTGGAAGAGCTGCAGGACTTGAAATAAAATTGGATTATTCAATCAAATGAGATCAAATATTTCTTAAATTCTTCCGTTAACTCCTGCATGGGTTATTTTACAGGATATCTTATAATTATTATTCTATTTGAATACATGCGGGAATTCATTTCAGGTATGCACAGGGCCAGCTGCAGAGCAGGCATATCTTATCTTGGGTCTGATAGCATTCATACAAGCTAATTTTTCTATTGCAGTTACTCGGCCGTGCGATCGTCGAAACGTTATATTCAAGATGAAAGTTTAGCAGATTAGGTAGGAAACCCTAAAAAAGCTTGACTTTAAATATATGACGTCCTGATTTTACCTTCGTAAATGTTCCTAGTTTCAATCGCTATCGCATTTAATATCACAAGAACCTAATCTATCATTTTGCATGCACAAACATTGTGGAAATTACATGGCGCTTTCTGTGATACTGAACAGCGCATTTCCTACTAACGATAAAAGTAAAACACAAAATTAACATTGAACATCTTTAAATCAGCCGATTGTAAAACAACGAAGAGCTATTATTTCAGGGCACAGATGAGAACGAACGATACGTGGCTGATAGTTTCAGTACAGTTCAGTTCATATAGTAGAACTCAAAACTGTTACCATTGGAGACAAATGATATTGGAAAACCAACTTCGTGGTTAGCGTATGGCTAATGAATGTAATCTGGGGTCATGGTGCAGGTCGGTTTATGGTTTTCTTCATCATTTACTAATTGTAAATATTACAAAATTATAAATATAAAATAATATCATAGTAATATACATATTACAAAGTTAAAATATCTAGAAATCCTGTTAGTGACAAATAATGAAATTAACGTAAAAATGATGCTTGACAAAATGATGCTAGTAAAATGATGCTTGACAAACATTTCAATAGAGCAAGAAGTCCAAGTTGGAAACTCTTATTGTCTCTTGAAATACTTTGTTAACAAGCTTTGTATCAAATGCCTAGAAAATAAATGAAGTAAAAGAAAGGTAGTAAAATATCTTCCAAGCATGAAAATTTTTTCAAGTTTTATTTCAGAAGAAACATATTTTACCATAAATTAAGTGAATGTTGCAAAGCTGAGTTGCTTCCAAGAATTAACATCACAGTACCTAGATCACACAGAAGTTGTCTCATTTTTTTGTGAGTCAGGATCGCATGAGATATGAATTTATCACAACTGACGATATCAACGGCAAGAGTCTTTTTCCGAGTAGCCTGCAGTCGATGTGTCCATAGCATCTCAGGACCTACGAAGGTTATGTCTTATCAGTGTGCACGAGTGTTCTAAGCGCTTAGGTTCATAGTAACAAGTCCAATTGTTAACTGTGGTTGCATACTAGAATTGCATGTTTATCCCGTGACAGTTAATTAATCCAGGACCTATCAACAGTAAACGTTAGTACGTACGTGCGGCATATGAAACATGCAATTACTGGACAAAAGTGTGTAAAGTAAGAAACGAAAACATGGGGCAGATGGAATTTATTTCATGTGCAAATGACATTAATTCATAAGATTTTTCAAGATCCCGAAGCTATCGTCGATTGTTTTAAATGCAGATAGATGAACAAAGTTTTTTTAATACTTCTATCAACTCCTAAGGCGCTAAATTAACTTAATATAATAAAGAATTCAAATTGTTTACCGATTGTCCACGTCATTGGTCTTCACATTACGGTCGGGTTGAACTCTTGATTCATTTTTCACTGACGTCATTTTGCTTTTTCATTTTTGAGGCACTGACACAATTTTTCTATGATAATTTTCGTCCAATAATTCATCACAACTATCCCACAGTATTCTTGCACATTGCCTACTACCTTATCAGCACTTCATTTTCCAAACTCCAACCAGTTTCAAATCACATTCTAAAAACACAATTGCTTTCAAACATACCAGTCAAGTAAATGCATTGGCAATGTCAACCTAATCCTAATGAGGTATCTGTTACATAACGAACCACCGCTTTTAAATAAATGCTTTCGCGTTAGTAATGATAACTTAATAATTACTGAATATTATACGAACGTTTTTAGAATTGCGTCAAGGACTTACTCAGGTTTAGTACATTTGAGCTCCTAGGATCGCATAGGGTTGAACCATCCGAGACAACATATCCCTCCAGGCAAATGACATTAAAAAACGTTGAATATGAGCTAATTCATTCAAAACAACGTCTAATCAACGTTTCTCAACGTCAGATGCCTGTTGAGTAGAGGCTGGGTCTCAGGTTCTGGGTGACGACATTAGTCGCCACCCAGCATGACCGTCGGTACAAGAAACAACAGCACAGTCTTAGTGAGGGCCGCTACCTGCACCAAAAAATAACGACGTGGATGTTCTCGTCCATGATGCGGGTATTGAAAGATATTAAATATATTCAAATGATTTTACCACAAAATAACAATGTGATATTTTTATGATATGATTTTACAACATTTAGCGGTTTCCCTTGAGGCCTGATTAAAAACTAACTATAACCAAATAAGTTTTGTTGTAGCCTAAAAATCGCAGATTAAAAATGGTGAAAAAGACAAGTTTTCAACCAGTGAAGCCTCTAGACAGTCCTAAGTATGCTGATCTTGATGATATCAGCCGATACGTTCATTTCGACGACTTCGAAGCAGCCGCCCGCACGAAGATGCTCGTGCCGCAACCGCTCACCAACAGCCACGTGAGGCTGCGACAACGGGTGCGTGCTTTTAAGCTGTAAAAAATACAATGCATTGTGATTCATGTATTATTAATAACGGTTGTCGAAATTTTAAGCATAAATGATCAAACAAAAATTCAGCTGTGGTTTATGGCTTAGAAACATGGGTTTTGCCGCTGTTGTTTTTGCAACTAGATATTTACAGATTTATTAACTAATGTATTCATCTTATGCTATCTGAATAACTTTATCGTTGTTAGCTGTAGAGACTATAACTGATGGACTTTTGATTGTCACAATAAATCATGAACGACCTGCTCGTGATAAGGATTTTTAATCGTCTGACTTGTTTTGTGTATTCGGCAATATTTCTTAATCTTAGCTGCCCATAAAGTGATCCTATCCGTACTTATTCCAATCTTCTGATTGTTCAAATATTTTCAGGTGTTGTGGTTCGCTCCATCACAGCCGAGCTTCAAACACAATTTCTACGGCAACGTCAGCTTCATCATCAAGTGGGAGACTGTGCTACAGAAATTAGGGCCGAACCTCTACCTAATCGACCAGGCCATTTATAACGCAAGAAGTTACACCCGGGTTGTGTTCACAAAAAATAATTATGATTCAATGTTGAAGAAAGTTGACTTGGATTCTGAAGATTCGCCCATGACAAAATCCTGGTCTGGTTTCCGCCACGCTTCGCACTGCATGAACAAAGTTCGCTGGGGTCCTCACGAGCTGCAGATCGCAATCGAAGTGGACGATGCCATAGTCAGGTGGCTTTATAATAACTGTAAAGCGGTTGCGAACAACCATTCTCTTGCGAACACTCCAAGCGATGGGGAACACACTAGGCGAGACGGAAAGGAATCCAAATTCCAGTCTTATAAATGTTTCAAATTCAATACGGCCCAAAATCGTGAGTGTCCGTACCAATGGACTCTAGGTGAGTGTAAAGTGAACATCAAGTCTTTATTGCCGACCGTTCATCCAGAAATAAGCCATTCCGGCAGGGGACTGGCTTCAGATTTAGCGCCAAAAAAACGTGTTGGTGGAACTGCTCTATCGCCTATATCAGTTTCTGCCCTATCGCCACCGTATACACCCAAAACGAAAAAAGAAGTCGGAAAGACTGCTGACTCAAACACTTCTCGATTGCAACCTGCAATCCCATCCTCAACGAAACAAACGCAACCACAAAATCAGTGCCAGATTTCTGATCTAGATTCTTACCTACAGCAACTTGAAATTGCTTTCTCGTTGTCGCAAATGCAGCGGCGTAATGAAAAGTCTCCAACACGGACACATAGGCCAACTAAGAAAGTAGTATCATTATCGACGTCACACGTTAGTTCGACATTTCTCGTACCTCAAAATTCTACACATCTCCATTCAATTCCCCCTCCAATCACAGAAAGCCAGCTTTACCCCAAAACATATGTAGATTTCAACAAATGGTTTGCTACTGAACCTGCAAATTACGACCGGGAAACCCATGCCAGTCCGCCTCAGAGCAGGACTGTCAAAATTCAATCTTCTTTCGGGGTCACTATTCCAGGAACTCATCATTCCAATGTCCCAAGAGATTCAACCGACCGTTTCTCCAATGGAAATGACATCAAACCATTGACGAATAACCATAAAAGGTCTCCGTTAAAAGTCTTCCTCGACTTTATTTGCTGCAGCAAGAAGCCGGAGAGCGCAGCTTGAAATAACCCCTTCAGACGGACATTCTGTCACATAGAAGAACATTTAAGAGTGCGCTAGGTCTTGATTATATTTTAGGCAAATAAATACTGTGGCATGAGTAAATTTAAATGCATAAATTTTGGATTATTCCGTGGGTGATTATCTTGGTTTTCAAGAATACTCGGTATTAAGTGATTGAAATGTTTCCAATACTTCAGATTCTTCTTAAATTATTGATGGTAACTTTCGATGGTGCAGTTGGGGTTTAATATGATTTGTCCAGGTTCGAAAGCTTGAAGTAGAGACAAGGAACAGAGGAGGGAAGTGCATTGACGGATGAACTTCTTACCCCAAAAACCATCACGGCACGTCCCGGACAAATTTACGGTCGGACTTGCGGCAGATCTCGTGGCCGGTTTCACGGCCAATCTCAAAATTCAGTGAACAAGATCGAATATCTCCCAGAGTAACTAACATAGCTCGATGGAGTGCGCAACCGTAGACCAGCAAATTAACTCTCAAATCAGCCCTGGAGCCAACATCAACCATCTAAATGTTATAGATATTGTCATCCTGGCACCTAATTGAGCAGCTGGCATGCATCCCACGGTCGATGAAACTTGGTACACTTATTCATTAGATCTAACGGTGATGTTTAGCTCATGAAAATTTTTTACATTTCGCCTTCATTAGTGAGTTATATGGCTATATGTGCCATTAGGGTTTATGTTAGGGATTACAGCGCTATTCCTCTTCTGCCGCTCTACAATAGAGTCTACCGAGCATTTTCTCGTGTGTTGTGTTAAAATTAATTTACTGGGTGAGTAGTTATGACAGTGTTAAAATTTAATACTTGGATATCATGCAGAAATGTATTAGTTTTGTACTTAAAAGAAGGGTAACATGGGGCAACGCGCCCACCCCTTTTTTAAACTAAATTTTAGATGAAAATTTAATTGATACGAGGTAGTTCATTGTTTTGTTTAAAGTTACAACTAATGAGGAATGTATGATGTGAATTAAAATCCTATAGAGTTTTTTTTTCAATTTCTAGTGAAACACTATTTTGTAAAAAGTGACAAAATGTGCCCATTGCCCCACCCCTGGGGCAATGGGCCCATGGGCTTGGGGCAGGATGCCCACCCCTGTTCCTTTTACTCCAATTGCATATTTTTTGTTTTAAAGATGCTAAGACAACACTTTACAGTTTAAAATGAGATAAATATAATAAAAATATTACGTTTATTCATGTATTACCAACTTTAAAAATCATATCCATAACTAAACAAATAAATTCTTGGCTCAAAAAATCTATCATTAACGTGAAAAAAATATATTTCCTTGACGTAAAAATAAATATCCTTGACTTGAAAAATATATCCATGCCATAAAAAATACATCTTTGGCATGAAAAAATACATCATTGGCTAGAAAAAATATATTTACTTGGCCAAAAAACTTCGTTCCACTTTCGTCCATAATCCAGATATTATCTTATGTGCAGGAGGTTCGTACTCGCTCCTGATTTCAGCCACGGATATGTTTATCGTATCTTCCTAAACACAGAACTCCAGGTTGCTTCATCTTGCCGTCTTTGGGCCGACGCAACGTTTACTTGGCAATTTGTCATTCATAATTTCCTCTAAAACATTCTAAAGTTCAGTTTGAGAAAAGCTGGCTATATTGGCCTTCCTTTTATAGTTGCGCATAATTTAGTAAGGGTGAAAGAATGATAACGGGTCATAAATATGCATAATTAGAACTAGAACCTGTTGCTTTAATGCGGCAAATCAAAAAAATCATACGATATATAAAGTGTAATTTGTAATTCAGAAAGCCAGTCATAGTTTTGAAGAGCTCATTGAGATAAATCCCATAATGTATAACACAATACTTCACAGAGGGATTTTGAGCCCACCATGCATGGGCGCTTTGCCCCGCGACACGCACGGGCCCATTGCTCCGCTATATAGGTATCACTTCAATTTATATCATGCCAACATTTTATTTTAAAAGCTAATAGTCTATACTTGAACTCAAAATTACCCCTATAAATATTACTCTCAAAATATAATTCACGGTATTTTCAAAAGCTTCATATAGAATAATCGAAAACAGTTTTTACAGCTGCAAAAAAAAAAAAAAACTTTTATCTGGGCTAAAACAGTTATTTGCAAGTAAGTAACTTGCCAACGCAAACTCTTAGCAAAACGTAGAGCCACATACTTCAGCCCAGTGAAACTGTCGACCGGCGGTAGAGCACACGGACCAATATCTGCCATACTTAGCAGGAAACCCGCTATAGGCCCATGACCCGCAGTGATCCCGTTGCACCGTGTTACCCTAGATTGATAGGAATTTTGTCATGTTATCATGCCTACTCAGCCTAGGGCTGGAGTAGATAAAATCAGCATAGCCACGGCCTCATATGGTAATCCACACTAATGATTTACATTCTCATTAAAAGGAGTGACAACTTTAATATTTAGGTCATAATACCAGCCACGTGTATAATCTGCGTCCTGCGAGTCCCTAGTCTCCTTCTAACCTTATTTAGCCCTTTTGTAACGGCTATGCGTTCTAAAACTTCTTATTGAAATATTTCTAGAGAATCACAGTAAATTAGGACTGAATAGTGCCTGTAAAAAAAAATTAAATATATATTAATGGTAAAAATTGTATAAGCGGGACTAGAGAGTCCCGGTAGTTCATGGTTGCATCTGAAGTGACAGATTTTGCTACATTAGGTTGCAGCACTGTAGTTGCACTTCTGTTGTTGTTATTTGTAGAAATGCATTATCTACATTCAACGCTTGGCCCTACAGGCAAATTTGGAGTTCGGGATCATAGAAATGCATCATTATCACCAATATATTTATTGAAAAATACTGATTTTGCGAGAAAACAATTTTAACCTGCTATATTTATACGCTAAAAGTTGAATGATATCACAAAGTTCCTTTGGAAAACGTGTGCACTAGCTGATAATGCCATATCACAAAGTTAATTTGAAATTAGGAGGCTACTTAATTATGTGGCATCACATTAGTCGCCACCCAGCATGTCCGTCGGGACAAGAAATAACAGCACAGTCATAGTGATGGCCTTTATAAAAAAATAACGACGGAGATGTTCTCATGTATGATGTGGGTATAAAAAGACATTAAATTCATTCAAATGATTCATGTATTTTCAATAATTGTTGCCGAAATTTTAAGCATGAATGATGAAAGAAACCATTTCAGCCGTGGTTTATAGCTATGAAACATGGGTTTTGCCGCTGTTGTTTTCCCAACTTGATATTTGCAGATTTATCAACTAATGTATTCATGTAATAATATCACTCGTTTGCTTGAATCGCAAATTCAATAAAAACTTAATAGTAAAGAAAACTCCACAAAAATTCATAGTATCTTTAAAGAAAACGTTTCGGAGTCCAGCTCCATCGTCAGTTCGAAAATTCTAGAACACAGATAAATCAGTGATTAATGCAAGTCAAGAATACAACGAAAAACCTAAGCTGCAAAACCTACCTATTTACAATTTCAAGCGGGTAAGAGCTAAAAGCTAAATTCAAACTAGGCCTATGTTTAAAAATATACAATATTTTCGAACTGACGATGGAGCTGGACTCCGAAACGTTTTCTTTAAAGATACTATGAATTTTTGTGGAGTTTTCTTTGCTATTAAGTTTTTAATGTATTCATCTTATGCTATCTGAATAACTTTATCATTGTTAGCTGTGGAAAATATAACTGATGGACTTTTGATTTTAACAATAAATAATGAACGACCTACTCGTGATAAGGAATTTTTAATCATGAAACGTATTTCGTGTATATGGTACCATTTCTTAATCTGAGTTGCTACTAAAGTGATATTATTCGTACTTATTCAAATTTTTCCAATCGTTCACATATTTTCAGGTGTTGTGGTTCGATCCATCACAGTCAAGCTCCAAGCGGCAGCTTCACCATCTTCACCATCATCGGCAGCTACGGCAACGTCAGCTTCACCATCAAGTGGAGACCGTACATCAGAAATTAGGGCCGAACCTCTACCAGGCCATTTATAACGCAAGAAGCTACACACGGGTTGTGTTCACAAAAAATAATTATGTTAACCTTTACAGCTGCTTTACTGGGATGTTGAATTATAATTTTACCACTGATTAAAATCGTATTACAAAACCGACAGAATCCATAAAATGATCTGATCTTATAAAACATTTGCAGCACCACAATCATACCCACCGTCTATCGGCAAATGTTCAAGCTCACTGCACAGTTTACCTTGAAAAAGGCAATAGCTAATCGATGATCAGACGGTGTAGCTATAACAACCTTAAAAACATTGAAAGAAAACATTCAGATTCATATGGTTCAGATTCAGTAATATTTTGATTTGTTGAAAACCGAATCTTGGATGTTACGCCATTTGCCTTTACCTCCATTCAATGATATTACAAAATGGTCAATTATCCGGTTCTAATACTCGTTTAATTTACTTCTAATATGATTTCTGCTATGCAGTATTTTGTTAGGATAAATTATAACGCGGCTCACAACATTTGGCTCTTTTAAAAATCACTAGTTATTTTGGGAGCAACTAGCATAATTTATTCAAAATTATAAATATTTAACACGAGAATAATTTTCACTATTCTTAAGAACTATAGTGACCTGAATAAACAAGTTTGTTCAAATTTGTCTCAGATGAATGTCAAAAATCATTGGATGTCTTGATTTTAATATGAAGCCTGTTTGCTTCCGATGAAAATATTGATACGCTAACCCAGCTAAAATTTGGCCTTAATTAAGTTCATTAGAAAGCCTCAGCCATCGATCTCTCATATCAACTTGTATCATCTCTCATATGTAGAACTTGCGGTGCTTCTCTTTGACTACTTTGTTACCGTTTAGAGCAACGGGATGTTTGAGTATCTTATTCGTGAAATTAAAAAATTCTAGCGATGAGTATAGTACCGCTTCAATATTGAAGAACGATACCCGGACTCGATATCGAATATTCCTTGACGTTATTTTCCGTATGAAGCAACAAAGAGATAACTTCAATCCGTATGTCATAGCGTTTCTTCCATGAGGGTTGTTGGCAAAGCCACCTCGCATCGGCATCATTAACTTCGATCGCGAAGAACGCGAGGGCCAAGGCGAACTTTGTTCATACAGTGCGACACGTAAATAACACCAGGCCAATAATTTTTCAAGGGCGAATAGAATGAATTTAAATTAACTTTCAAAAGCCTTTAGTCATAAGGCACGGTCTCCCACTTGAAGGTGAAGCTGACGTTGCTAATGAAATTGTGATCGTAGCTCGAACGTGATGGAGAGAACCACAATACCTGAAAATTCGATGGTATAAGCGAAAAGGAAAAAAATCAGGTTATAATGTTATGCTAGATTTATTCTAAAAATTAAATGAGAGAATAATTCGGATAATGCTCTGTGCTAAACGCTTTCAATTTAGTGTGCGAACATTTTTTTATTTCATGCATGTTGAAAGGGTGGAATAGTGTGGGTCATTACATACACTTGGGTATTTCATCAGATTTATGATATTGTTGGCAAAATAATTGTACAGATTAATATGAATTATTTCTACAACAGTTTCAAAATTTCAAAAATGTTATGATATTTTTTAAGGTAAAAAGTTTAAGAGCGTACTCTGATAAAGTTTACCTGTACAACGACAAATTGAAAAGAGCCATTGGGAGTAGAGAACCGTATAATACAGGGTTGGGCAGAACCAATTGAGCAGTTTAGAGGCGAAATAAAAGAGTAATGGAGGTACGTAAAGAAGAAAGTTTATTTTCCTCGAGGTTAGCATAACATATCATTTAGCATACTAATGTTTTGAAAACAATATCAGGAAGATGGTGGCCGTTAGCTGCAACACATTGTTGGAGTCTTTTTCGGAAGTTTCCTACAGCACGTTCACACATATGGCGAAGTATGGCCATACCCTCTGCAATAATCGCTCCCTTAGCTGTGGTAGGGTGTGAGGGCGACTTCTGAACACCCATTCTTTTAGATGTCCCCCAAAGAAAGAAATCGCAAATGCTCAAATCAGGTGACCTTGCAGGCCACTGTAAATCACCCCTCAGAGCTACCAGACTTCCGGGAAACATGCGTCTCAAAACATTTAGTGACATTCGGGCTGTGTGAGCTGTAGCCCCATCCTGCTGGAACCACACGTCTCCCAATGATTAATTTTCAACAATGTTTTCCATTCTGAGCTGCAATAAATTTTGCAACATTGCAGCAAAGCGTTCGGAATTCAATGTCACGGTTACTCCCTCTGATTAAATAGGGGTTTAAAAAGAAAAGAGAGACGTTTCTGATCGTCTCATATATTTTAAGGTTGGAGACTCGGAGTGATTACTCCACCAATTTTACGTTACGTTCAGGTTCAAGATACCGGTATTCATTACTTATCGTTTTGTCAGGTGGTTTGCCGAGTGGCACTTGATTGGCACAGATGAAAAGGTTCTCTTTTTGGATAGGTTACGGCAAAATATAGTACAAAGAGAGGGTGTAATGAAACACTGATACATTTCATATTAAATTGAGAAATTCAAGTTCACATCCTACGTTAACAAAAATCTCTAGTACATGAAAAAGGTGAGCTGAACAAAATCAAAGTCCAAAATCTATCAGTTAAATCATCATCATGTAAAATCATCTAATTTTACCAATTGTTGATACATTGCAGTTCCGTTGAGCCGTACGACTGTTGTAAACGACCGTAACTTGCGCACCCGTTTACGGCCGTATGTTCAGCGACCGTACCGCGGCTGTCACCGCGCGGTGCAGCCGTATTTCAAGTGGCCGTACTGCAGCTGTATCGCGCATCTCTCTTCACAGTTGCTCTTTCTTCATGACTTTCGTATCTCGTTGATATAGATGTCTCACGGTCAGTCTGGCCGTAGATTACTTGTAGGTTTACTGCGGCTGATGGTTGTGACCGTATTGTTTCTTCTGATGAGAGCTGTGCCGTACCGATGACCGTACCGATGATAATTTCCCCGCCGTGCTCTGTAGTTGAGTCTCCGTGACTGCAGGTGTTATTATCGCTGGACAACTCGTGGCTCCTCGCATTGTCTCACGGCTGAGTCGCAGCCGTAGTGTTGATGTTGACCGTATAATATGTTGAAGTCATAGCCGTTCATTGTATATGTTTGACGCACTCACAGGAATCGTAACTGCCTCGGTGAGTCTAAGTTTCTCGCAAGTCGCGACCGCCAATGTTCGAAAACGACAAACCGCCGGCCTCACGGCCGCGGCCGTTACGTCCGCTAACTGCAGACCGTACGTGCGTGACGGTCACCGCCGTAGAACCAACAACCCTTGGCGTGAATTTTTAAGGTCCTTATATACGCTAGTGTCGCGCACTGTTACGCCTAACCCTCGAAGAGACGCCACATTCCTTCGAATGGAATTTCCCTCGCCAGCGTTCAGCTTCCCACGGTCTCGAAACAACCGCGCCGCATTCTTAGCATTCTTAACATCTACCCATAATACATGTTCAATATTACCTATGTTCAATATTACCCACTTTATTCACCTCCTCCTCAAAGAAGTATGGGCCTATCACACCAAATTGTGAGATGGCACACCAGACCGTTAGTTTGGGAGGATGTAGTGGTCTTTGATGGAGCTGGTCTCCGAAACGTTTTCTATAAAGATATGAATTTTTGTGGACTTTTCTTTGCTTTTAAGTTGTTAGTAAATTTGCGATTTAAGCAAACAAGTGACATAAATACAACATAAGCAGTTTTAATAAATGTAATATTCGATAGTTTTGTAATAATTTTAAGTTCTGATAATGACAATTATTAATATGAATTTACGATCTTAAGGGCCACAGCCTCAATTAAGCTTTGAACAAACTTGTTTATTCAGGTCACTATAGTTATTAAGAATATGGAAAATTATTCTCGTGTTAAATATTTATAATTTTGAATAAATTATGCTAGTTACTCCCAAAATAACATGGTGATTTTTAAAAGAGCCAAATGTTGTGAGCCCATTTATAATTTATCCTAAAAAAATACTGCATATCAGAAATCATATTAGAAGTAAATTAAACGAGTATTAGAACCGGATAATTGACCATTTTGTAATATCATTGAATGGAGGTAAAGGCAAATGGCGTAACATCCAAGATTCGGTTTTCAACAAATCAAAATATTACTGAATCTGAACCATATGAATCTGAATGTTTTCTTTCAATGTTTTTAAGGTTGTTATAGCTACACCGTCTGATCATCGATTAGCTATTGCCTTTTTCAAGGTAAACTGTGCAGTGAGCTTGAACATTTGCCGATAGACGGTGAGTATGATTGTGGTGCTGCAAATGTTTTATAAGATCAGGACCTTACAGATTAATTATAGGTGCCTAGCAAGAATGTATATTTTAGGTTGAATAATTTCTTTCCATGCCATTAAAAGCAGTCTATTCCTGTAAATACCCTCGATTTAATTATTGTTAATCTTTATGGCTTCCAATGTCAATGGTTTATGATCGATAAGACTTATTTCAAAAGCATGTGTTCCTATAAGTGGGAAAGGTTCATCCGAATCATGTTCTCATTTATGATGCCACATATCGTAATTTAAGGTTTTCCTGAATTAATCTTGTATAGAAACCGTCGTTTATTTAGATGTTGATTTACAGGTGATTCATTTATTTATTCAATGCCTTAATAAAATTTCAACCTTTGAAGGAGTTACCGCCAAGAAAAAGGCGTACAACATTTTTGAATTCTGCTTATTATACTATTCCGGTACTATTTTATTATTTTGAATTAAATGTTTATTCACATCAGGTTTACATGTTTTCACATTATATCTGGATGGGAAAAATGTAAGTAGCTTTATATATTGGATTCACGAAAATTTCAACTAAGCCTTTTCAAAATCTTAATCAAGATACTTCTAAAATGTTTGCGTAGGCACGTTAATTTGGTAGAAATGTAGGGTATGCTTTTCTACTTCGTAATTGTAAAGTAGTATATAAATTTTAATTGTACAGGTTTGTCAGACAGTAATTAATATTTCTCTATTTTGCCTCTTCGCTTATTTAACTGTAGTTAACATTTAATTTATTTTTAGATGCTTTTTTGACAAAACAGTTTTCTAATTCACGCCATTGATATTATGATTAAAGAAAATTTTTACTGAACACTTTTTATCTTCATTTTATGGATTCTGTCGGTTTTGTAATACGATTTTAATCAGTGGTAAAATTATAATTCAACATCCCAGTAAAGCAGCTGTAAAGGTTAACATGTTCTACTAAGGTCATATTAAAACTTCCCCTTCGACGCGCAGATTTATAGTGCCATGGATCCGTTTTTCATCGAAAAGGAGCAAATGATAACGGTAACTAATGCAAGTTATCAAAATGTCAAGCCTCTGGACGCTTCGTACGATGATTTGGTTGAAATTAGCCGATGCGTTCATTTTGACGACTTCGAAGAGGCCGTCCGCTTTAAAATGCTTGTGCCTCAACCACTTATTTACCGCCACAAAAGCAAACTACCTTTGAAGGTAAGTTTTACATTTTACTAAAATTTTATATTTATTTGTATCACTAAAATACTTTTAGTATCGGGATTTAATCTCACAATTTTATTTATAATGGTGGAATTCTATGACATTGAAGAATGAAGGGGAGCGGCAAAATTAAAATTGGATTTTCATTTGGTAAGTGCTTATTTTATTCACAAATATGTTTCCTCTGCATTTTAAAAGGTTCTTAAACGGAAAATCCTTGCTGAATGTGAGTTTGCACGAACGGGGCTCTCTTTACTTATGGTACTTTAGTTTCAAAAATATAAACTCTGATATAACAGGGATTATCTATCTTGGGCTACGCCGGGCTAACCTGCTACTAATTCATTTGTATGAAGACTTGACGATTATCATCTGGTCATTTCTGATATAAATTACCTCAACTATTATCATCACACACTTTTCATTAGGAGCTCTGATGAACGATCCGCAACTAAATCGATTAACTTAAGTTTTTAATATTCATTTAATTCATGAAATCTGTTTTTACACAATATTTCAATAAACACATAATTAAAAATCTAAAATAAAACTAGTCAATTGTTGAAGAATAGTTTTTATTGAGTCAAAGTGGAATAGTTGTAGAAAAAATATATAACCCTGCATTTAATTCACATTTTTACTCGCTGTATTCTTAGGTGCTGTGGTTCGCTCCAGCTCACTGCAGCTCGGAGCACAATTTCTACGGCAACGTCAGCTTCACCATCAAGTGGGAGACCGTGCAACAGAAGCTGGGGCCGAACTTCTACCTTATCGACCAGGATATTTGTAACGCAAGAAGTTTCACTCGTGTAGTCTTCACTAAACAGAACTATGACGCAATACTAGAAAAAGTTAAGCTTGATTCACGGGGATCACCCTTGATGAGATCAGAGTCTGGTTTCCGCTACGCTTCGTACTGCATGAACAATGTACGCCGGGGTCCCCACGAGCTGCAGATCGCGATCGATGTTACTGATGCTGACGCGAAATGGCTTTACTTGAACTGCAAGCCTGTCGCCAACAACCATTATTACGTTAACATCTCAAGTTACAAAGACCACATCAGGCGGGATGGAATGCGATCCAAATTCAGTCCCCACTCATGTTATAAGTTCAATTCTGCTCAGAACCGTGAGTGTCCATACGCATGGACTGTTCGAGAGAGTGAGAAGCGCATCAAAGAGTTGTTAGGGCCCGATGCTCCGACGACCCGTCTCAGAGTGGGACAAGTTGCAAATTCCAACTTAATTTCAACCCCTGCAGCAGCAGCGCCAACACTTTACGCGAACCAAAATGACAGTGATCCTGAATTCAAAAATTTCGTGATAGCTATTGTCTTGTTGGCATGTTTTGCACTGACTTGTTTGATTTTTGGGGGTATTCCCGTCACGAAAACCCGTTGAGATCATCTGTCCTCGTGTGAAGGAGATGAACATCTCTCAAATTTGTGTTAGGACTTCAAACGTTTTTTTTTTTTTTTGTTTTTGTAAATTTATAGTATAGACTTATGCCTATAGCCTACTCAGAAATCTCCATGGTTTGAATATTTAATAATTATTTTATTGCAATAAGGTATGGAAAATTGAAAAATCAGCCGGTCAGAGAAGATTTTTTTTACTTTTATGCGCATGTGGTATGCAAGGAACTCATTCGTTGATACATGTATTTATAAGTAGTAGTAAATATTTCTATTTACAGCTAAAACATTCCGGAGCATCCAGCATTAATTTATTATGAAAACTAAAACATTCTTCTTCTTTTATGATTAAAGCCCGCAACTTTCACCCGTTACTAGATTGTAGTCGGAGCATCAGCAAATATCTAAACGTGGTTCAAATAATAAAATCACGTATATGAAAATGTACTTGCACCTAGTTACTACGAATAAATTTTATAGATGACTTTTACCCATTGCTGACGCTTGATATATATAACTCGTTCCATAACAAAGAAACAACGTCATTGCGCAAGGTTTATTAAAGATATGTATTTATGGACGGGTTGAGGTCTCGTGGTACCCTACTTGTTGAAGAAGTTGTACCCAACGATGAGTCGTGTAAGATTTGTTCGATAATTTTGATTCTATATTCTCTTTTAATTTTCGTTCATATAGTCCGATTTATATGATATTATTCAGTAGATTACATATAATAAAAAATTAATCATTGAAATTTTCCAAGTCTCCGAACAATGCCGTATGAATATAAATTATATTTTACAAACACTTTCATGTTGACAAACTGGCGTTTATATGCATTATCTACAACTTAATTAATTGCATATACAATCAAATGCCGTTTGAAAATTCTTTTGTCTGAAGTTCCATTTTCCTCCATTAAAAACACATTTCTCGCTGTAACGAAACGTTATTGCTCATGAAAAAAATCTGCAGTTGAATTTAAATCAACAGACAGAACTTCAAAGTACTAACTTCAAATGAAATTCATATTGCACATATTTTTGCAATCTCACTAATACGTACTATACCTTCCGTGTTATTGACATTCTGTATAAAATAACTAATATTAAGTTCGTCTCTCCTTACGAAACGACGTTCTACATCAACCTCGTCAACTGCACTCTAGATTTCTCAACTTGCTAGACTGCATTGAATCATTCAGCATCTCAAAAGTTACAGTTGAATGTGTAGGGAGTTGACCGTAATTATCGTTGTGGTGAAAAGCGGACACGTCATCAATGATCATGGTTGAACTAGTTCAACCATGATCATTGATATGCAATGTGCATATAAGAATGTGCTTGCCAGAGTAGATGCGCAGTGATTGTGTGAATCTTTTCTGCACTTACTTTCTAGAAATAATATATATAACTTAATAACTTTTAACGTGGAAAATTCACTCGAAATTGACACATCAGGATACAATGAAGGCACATAAAATTTAATCTGTAAGGTGAGGTGAAATAGTTTCCTCTCAAGCACATTATTTTATTTTTCATCCGACATGGTGAGCGAGCGACACAATCCCAGATCGACCTCCCATGCAACACTACCAGCGGCGAGAAGCAAGCAACAGCATCGTGCATCAGCTGGCCCAAATGAGGGCAGATGAACGATAATCAGAGGCATCTAGTCATGCAGGATACGCAAAGAGGGACGGACGATTACTCGAATTCTAACCTTAAAATTTCCTAAATTCCACTGCAAGATAAAATATCCCTTATGAGTTATGACAGCGAGCGTCTCTCCAATCACGCAGAGTGAGCTGACATCATGGAAAGACCGTGGCCTGAGTGATAAACTATTATGCGTACCAGCTCCCGATAGCTTAAAGGACAACCCCTCTGTATCAGTGCTCCGATGAATAAGTGCGTGACCTTTAAACAGCCGTTGTCGATGGTCTTATTAAAACAACCGTACATTTAGGAATAACTGCTATATCTAAACAGCCTTTGCATGCATATTTAAACCTCACATTGCCTAACCATTCGATCGTACCTGAATGTTAGGTGCTGCAGTGTTGTTCATGTTACGGTAAACTTCTAACAACCCAGTGAAGTAAATTTCGGTGAGCATATATACTCAACCTGCTCCTAAAGTCCTTTTGTTTCAGGCCCTTGACGACGATATCTGTCTGCAGTCAAATAAATCCTTAGCAACAACGTGGTTCTGGAACTTCCTTCTTCCCGAGTGGTCTTTTCCCTCTTTTGTAAATGTTTTTCAAGCGAGGTAGAAAAACTAATAAATGGTTATCTACTATTGGTATCCAAATAATTACATCTGAAGATACTCAACTTCGTCGTACTAATAGAAATACATATCGCGTCGCCTGACATTCTGCAAAAAATTCTAGTGAGAGCAACAAGTAAATTTCTGCATTTAGCTTTGTCATCAACCTTTTGCCCTAAAGTTCTTCTCTAAAATAACTGGGCTGCGTTGCATCACTCTATTAGTCTCTATATATCACAAATTCGTTCGGAGTGACTCACAGCGGAATTTGTAAGGAGTTGACCGAAGTTATTGTTATCGTTATCGTTTTCGACAAATGCGTCATCATTCGTGATAGGTTGCCTGTGCAGTGTATCGGGGACAATGGTTTGTGTTGGTGAGTACTGAGTATGAGGGCAAGCTGTACGTGGTCATAATGAGCACATTATGTACTTATGTGTATATTTTTGGTGAATTTTTCTGAAAATTGTGAATAGATGTAAAACAATAATTAAATATGGTAAAAATTTGTAGCAAAGTCCGGCAGGACGATGAAACACATTAAACGCTGTGAATGCTAGGAATAAACGCCGCATTGAGCTGTAATGAACAATTTATGAGGAATTATAAAGCATGGAGAGCTTCTGGAAGTTGGTTGATTTCGAAAAGTTAAAACTGTCCCCCCTCATTGCCGTTTTCCGTCTTAGACATGTTCGTGTATTCATTGTAGAATTAAGTGAAGGCTAATTTCGAATAACTATTCCCCATTCACACACTTTCACTTCTAGCTCTGCAAGTTAGAAATAAGTAGTAAATAATTGAACCGATAATGGTAAGGACGTGTTATCAAACCGCGCAGCATCTAGTCAATCCCACGTACGCTGATTTGATTGAAATCAGCCGATGCGTTCATTTCGACGACTACGAAGAGGCGGTGCGCCTGCAGATGATTGTGCCGCAACTGCTTTCCAAAGGACACAAAAGTCTCCAACGACGAGTACGTAAAAGCGATGCAGTATCTCAGAATGAATGTCTATTGTAATTACTGGACAAAAGGGCGTAAAGTAAGAAACGAAAACATGGGGCAGAGATGATTTATTTCAGAGATGATTATTTTCACATTAATTATATTGGACAATGTATTAAGGAATTACTCAGTTTTACTACATTTAAGCCCTAGGATCCTAGGGTTGAATCATTCGGGACTACATATCCCTCCAGGCAAATGACATTGAAAAAACATTTACTACGACCTAATTTATTGCAAAGAACTTTTAATCAACGTTTCTTTAACGTTAGTTGCCTGGAGGGTGTGGTTGGGTCTCAAGTGCTGGCATAACATTAGTAATTAGGAGGCTACTAATGTGGCATCACATTAGTCGCCACCCAGCATGTCCGTCGGGACAAGAAACAACAGCACAGTCATAATGATGGCCTTTATCAAAAAATAACGACGCGGATGTTCTCATGTATGATGTGAGTATATAGAAAGACATTAAATTCATTCAAACGATTTTACTCTAAGAGAAGAATGTGATATTATTATGATATTATTTTGCAATATGTACCTAACGGTTTCCCTTCACGCCTCACGAGAAATTAATTACGACGAAATAAGTTTTGTTGTACCTTAAAATTCGCTGATTAAAAATGGTAAAAAAGACAAGTTTTCAACCAGTGAAGCCTCTAGACAGTCCTAAGTATGCTGATCTTGATGATATCAGCCGGTGCGTTCATTTCGACGACTTCGAGGCAGCCGCCCGCACGAAGATGCTCGTGCCGCAACCGCTCACCAACAGACAACAGTAGCGTGCTCGTAAGCTGCAGAAAATTCAATTTATTGTGATTCATATATCATTGATAATAGTTGCCGAAATTTTAAGTATGAGAGATTAAAAAAAAACATTTCAGCCGTGGTGTGTTGCTTTGAAACATGGGTTTTGCAACGTTGTTTTTCCAACTTGATATATGCTGATTTATTAAATAATGTTTTCACTTTATGCTATCTAAATAAATTTATCATTGTAAGCTGTGGAGAAGAGAACTGATGGACTTATGATTGTCACAATGAATCATGAACGACCTGCTCGGGATGAGGATTATTAATCATGAAACTTATTTAGTGTATTTGGTACCATTACCTAATCTGAGTTGCTCCTAAAGCGATATTATTCGTACTTATTCAAATTTTTCTAATTGTTCAACTATTTTCAGGTGTTGTGGTTCGCTCCATCACAGTCAAGCTCCAAACACAATTTCTACGGCAACGTTAGCTTCACCATCAAGTGGGAGGCCGTGCAACAGAAATTAGGGCCGAACCTGTACCTAATCGACCAGGCCATTTATAAAGCAAGAAGTTACACACGGGTTGTGTTCACAAAAAATAATTATGATTCAATGTTGAAGAAAGTTGACTTGAATTCTGAAGATTCCCCCATGACAAAATCCTGGTCTGGTTTCCGCCACGCTTCGCATTGCACGAACAAAGTTCGCTGGGGTCCTCTCGAGCTGCAGATCGCAATCGAAGTGGACGATGATATAGTCAAGTGGCTTTATAATAACTGTAAAGCGATTGCGAACAACCATTCTCTTGCGAACACTCCAAGCGATGGGGAACACAATAGGCGAGACGGGAAGGAATCCAAATTCCAGTCTTATAAATGTTTCAAATTCAATACGGCCCAAAATAGTGCGTGTCCTTACCAATGGAATATACGTGAGTGTAAAGTGAACATGAAGACTTTATTGGCGACAGTTAATCCAGAAATAAGCCATTCCGGCATGGGACTTAGTTCGTTTTCAACCTTTGCTGCACCAATTTCAGTTCCGGTCCAAAGTTCCAAACGTACACCTTCGAGTCATACTGGAACTTCTCCACTACCTACAGTTCAACACTCTGAAACAATTTCACCACGAACTCTTCCAACTCCTGCTGTAAAATCCAAACGTACTCATTTAGATCGAGTTAAAATTCCTTCAGAAAATTATTCTGCTTGTCTTGCGACTTCACCGAACATACTTTCAACTCTTGCTATATCTTCAGAGCGTCCAGCTCCAAGACCCAGGGTGAAGAAGGGCTGGAATTCATATATATTGCCGGCAGCAATAGCAGTGGCTGTATTTCTGGCAAAAAGAAGCTTCTTTAAACAGTTTTATCGAGCAATCCTTGCAAGAATAGGCAATTCCAGAAATGAATTGTTCTCCAATGCTCATCATCACAATCATGCATGTGGCATTGCGGGGCTCACAGAAATAGGCAATTCCAGAGTTGAATTGTTCTCCAATGCTCATCATCATAATCATGCTCATGGCATTTCGGGGCTCACAGAAATTGGCAATTCCAGCGTTGAATTGTTCTCCAATGCTGATCATCACAATCATGCTCGTGGCATTTCGGGGCTCAGTGGCATTTTCCATCGTTTATGCAGTCACATAGACGCACAATACTATATTGGCAATATTCTGTTTTGCGCAATAGTATTGAGCGCCTGTGGGCCATGTCTAGTGGCATTTTTCATCGCTTAGGCAGTCACATAGACGTACAATACTATATTGGGCAATATTCTGTTTTGCGCAATAGTATTGAGCGCCTGTGGGCAATACTTAGTGGCATTTTCCATCGTTTAGGCAGTCACATGGACCCACAATACTATATTGGGCAATATTTTGTTTTGCGCAATAGTATTGAGCGCCTGTGGGCCATACTTATAAGTGGCATTTTCCATCGTTTAGGCAGGCACATGGACCCACAATACTATATTGGGCAATATTTTGTTTTGCGCAATAGTATTGAGCGCCTGTGGGCCATATCTAATCGTTGCGCAGCATATATTGTGTCATTTTTCAACTTCGAATATATGCTGCACCAACTATATAATATTTTGCGTCTGTAGGGGCCATGTTGCACCATTTTCCGTAGTTAGTCTTTAGCGGTCTATCAATTGATGCCTAACAAGAAGCAAACAATTTAAAAAACATTCAGCGAATGTGACGTACTTTTTCAATGTGACTGGTTAGAAAATATGAACTTGAATAAGAGTCCAAAGTTACCTTTCGTTGTACAGAAATATCTACGGAAAATAGATTTTATAAGTTCATTAGAAATGAATTTCTCGGATAACTGTGCACGAAGAGAAATGTAACGATTGTATACTTTCACAAACTTGTAAATAGGCTCTGCAATGCGAAAAAATGGAAAATATTAAATTTTAAGATAATTTTCTGCATTACGGTATACAGAATCATCCATGAGTCATTAGAAATAATAGAGAGCGTGTATGGAATTTGGTTTACGACCACAGTTACAGTCCGGTAATGGGTAAAACTCTGACGGCTGAATTTTTAATTTTTTTTTAATCTCTGTTTTCCCGGCATAACGACGGATGTTTGCGTACTCTTAAATTGGTACATAAATTATGGAAAAAATATATTTCCGCTTTATTCATGCTAATTTGGAGCTCAAATTAACAGAAATTCGTTTATTGTTTAATCCAACATGGTAGAGATGACTTCAACGGTTAATTATAATAATATAAAAATTATATTCATTCACACACAAAATACGCTCTATTCTTGATGTTCTCCTTGAAACAATTTCGTAGGAGCTACAAATTAGTCAATACAAAACCACCGAAAAATAGATTCGTCATCAACCTTTTCTGCTGCAAGTTCCACGAGTATTTCGTAATTCGCTCCACTGCATCGCGTCGCTCAGCATCTCAAATTCCTTTGCATGACTCACTGGCATAATTTGGGACCTGACCGAAGTTATCGTTATCGTCTTGGACGTATGCGCCATCAATAGTAAGCATGTTAGATTGACAGAACAGGGTACCAGGACGGATGAGGGTTGACAATAAGTATGAGAGTTGCGCAACACATGGTGATTACGTACATTATCTGAAAACACTAATGACTCTACGCGTGGAGATTGAACAATGCCATTGCTCGCTAATTGAAGACATTGATCAATTGAATTCAATAATCGGCATGATATAAATGAAAATGAACTATGTCACTAATTATTTCGCAAACATTATACGAGTATAATACGTCAAACTCATCATCGAAAAGCTTCACCCGATGAGGAAAAAAAATCTCTCTTTCTCTGCATGACTGCTGTCAGAGAGTTGTCATCACTGCCCTAGCTCTGATGCTTTTTTTCTTCTTAGAATTTTCTTCAGAAAGGCGGACAACAATCAGATGCTAACAAATTGAAGTCAAGTATGGGTCTTCGGTTATATGGGTTCTAACGTGATTTTCGGACCTATTTTACGTTAAATGTATGAAAATTTTCCTTTTTTAACTTCGCTCGTTATTTCCCACACAAGCTTCGAATATTGAGATATTTGACATTACCGACCGTGAAGTATAATATACTACATATTCAGAGTTCTGCTATCAGCTTCTTGCAGATTTTGTTCCACCGAGATAACATTTTACAACAGCCAGTATGAAGGCCACTAGTGCAGTGCAGTAAGCAATACAGAAGACAGCACTTCGGCGTGCAGCTGCACCAAAAAGCAGCTTCCATTTGCTCTCGAACCCCAAAGTGCAGAAAGACTTAATGTGAAACTGGAGAGTTTTTAGTGCCCGATGATTTAGTGCATCCACTTTTTTGTATAACAGCTTACTTAACCGTTGTTCTTTCTTCTCTGTCAATCATGCAAGACAAAATATTTTCTAATACATTCCCTACAACTCCAGTTGGGGTTATCTTGTGAAATAGCCTATAGTTATTCTATTTATATTACTGAAATTTATGCATGTCTCATGTGTGTGTTCAGTCCTGGTATGGGGTAGATGTATTCGTATTGCAGCATGAATGTTGTTTATCGTGGCATATCTTATCACCGACTTCCATTTTTACCCCTGATCTAGTGGTGGACGTTTTTAATTGTATTCCTAAAAGTTATTTCTTATTAAGTTATTCTTGCATTCGTTGGAAATTTAGGTTCATGATGGAAGGTTTGCAGATCAAGTTGGAAACCTGAATGATGTTTGGCTAATAAATCTAAGCCGTCTTGATTTTCCCATAGCAATTGATCTAAGTTTTAATCTTTATCATTCGTGCTGTCAAGGTTTACAGTTAATATCACAAGAACCTAACATATATTTTTTCAGGCGCAAACATTGTGACCAACAGTGCATTATTTGAAACTACAGCGTTTTCCTGACAGACGATAGAAATAAAATCCAAAATTAACATTGAGCATCGGAAAACAGCCAAAAATGTCAAAGCGGCGGAAAATTGTTATTTCAAGGTACACATAAAAACGAAGGATATACGTGGTTGATGGTTTCGTAGTAGAATTTAAAACCGTTAGCTATGCAATATCATGGAATGACATTGCAAGACCAACTTTGTAAAGGTTATATTAAAGATATTAAATGGAATCTGGGGCCTAATGCAAGTCGCAACAGGTTTCCCGTTGTTATTTTAATAAGATATACTTACACAAAGAAATCCATAATTTCAATCTTATTCTCTGGAAGTCTAAGAATGACTGTGGTGTGTATGTAAGAATGACTGTGTATGAATTGCGTTAGTACCAAACCGATCAAGGTAACATGCCGAATTGGCAGACTGTTGCAATAGTTGGAAACCAGGTGCCAAACTATCCATAGGTTCGCTGAATAAAAAATTTCCAACGATTTCCGAATTGCAGACTCTTATTTGTTTTACTCACAGAACAGCTACTTAACATGAACTGTATTAAATTTCAAGAAAAAATATAACAAATAAATAAAAATCAATCAATCAATGTGAATAAAAATCAATCAATCAATCAAATCTACTAGAAAATTTAAGAAAAATGCGACATGAAGAATAACATCGAAGTACTTAAATGACTCAAAATTTATCTATTTTGATGTGATCAAGGTTAATGAAACATATGTGTAGAAATATTCTAAACGTCAGTATTCAAATAACTAGTTTCAATAATCGGACGTTCTTAAATGTTGGCTGCATTCTACGTTGCAATGTCAATTTGTATGCCTATCATTCTGCTGAAGTCTACTGCCTATCTTGCGTCACGTTTCAATTCCTTCTTGAACATGAAATTTACGCTTCGCCTGCACGCTTCAGAACCTGCATTATTTTGTATATTTATCTCAATTAAAGAAAAAAATGTTAGTGTTACATACGACTTTCGTGTGTTAATTGGTTTGCGTTGCATTTCCCACCACCGTTCTTTGACAGCTGCATGTTTTCATGCTATTAACGAAATCTTAATAACTAATGGTTAATAGACGCAGGTTATTGCATGATAGCCTTCTTGAGCGCGATAAGCCTTCGCTATGATTGGCTTGGATGGATACATGGTATAGGATGATGTTATTCGGAACCATAGGGGTTGGCACTCTGGTACAGGATGGCGGCACATAATATATATATATATATATGTATATATGAGCCGCCATTCAGCAGAACCGTCGGCCAAAGAAACAACAAGGTCATAATGACCTGGATGATAATAGCGACCTGGATGCTATCGTCCAAGATTCGGGTAGAAAAATATTTGCTTACAATTTCACTTAAGACAACATTGTGATTTCTTTTGATATTATTTACAATATCTAACGGTTTCGCTTCTAGCAAGTTCTGAAACTAACTTCTACGGAACAAATTCTATTTCAGTTGTAAAATTTCAAATGAAGAATGGTTAAAAAGACAAGTTTTCAACCAGTGAAGCCTCTAGACAGTCCTAAGTATGCTGATCTTGATGATATCAGCCGGTGCGTTCATTTCGACGACTTCGAAGCAGCCGCCCGCACGAAGATGCTCGTGCCGCAACCGCTCACCAACAGCCACGTGAGACTGCGACAACGGGTGCGTGGTCATCGGTTTTTATTACTATCAAATTTGATTATCTGATTTTTTTGTATCCATTATCTCTTGGTCTTTTAGTAAAATTTCCATTGAGATCAGTGCACTTCAGCCATAGCTCAATATTAACTCAATATGTTATTACTCAGTTACTACTGATGAGCAGTTGCAATTGAAGCGACTTATCCAGTATATATTTATAATGAACGGTCATGTACCATTAACCTATATTGAAAGCAGTTAGAGCACAACACTATTTTTCCAACCATTACATATTGTTGAAGCCGAACATTGGGGTCAAAAAATCTCCGGATTAAATTTCAACGAATATCTGTAAAATTTGTAATTTTTCGGCCTCCGGAGAATATTGTTTCAGCCAATGGAAAAAAAAGTTTTTACAATTAATCCTAAAATTTAATATCATAGTATTCATTCAAAATACTACACGGACATTTATTATTTCGTACATTATACAAAGTTCACCAGTTGACCGCGACAACCACGAGCCAACCTATTTCTTGCGGAGGCTATATCGTTAGCTTAGCGCTGTAATATGCTAGTGTGCAAGAGGCTCAAAGAATCTCTAAGCATCAAACGGTTCCTCATTTTCGTACATTCATTAAGGTCAAATCAACCAATAAATTGCGATGGATATTTATTGGTAAGAATTAACCCAATAATTCAGGTTTGAACTCGAAATAAAAATTGAATCAAAATTACGCATAAAACTATAATTTGTACATTTTTAATGTCATTGCAGAAACTCCCTTTCAAAAGGGATTCCAAGCTTGTTGTTATCCATATAAAACAATCATTTTTGGATTCGGAATTTCCAAATAAGAGTCTATTTTATATGACTCGAAAATTTTCAGGTGCTGTGGTTCGCTCCATCACATCCCAGTTATCGGCACAATTTCTACGGCAACGTCAGCTTCACCATCAAGTGGGAGACCGTAAATCAGAAATTAGGGCCGAACCTTTACCTAATCGACCAGGCTATTTATAACGCCAGAAGCTTCACCAGAGTTGTGTTTACTAGAAATAACTATGACAGAATCTTGAAGAAAGTTGACTTGGAATCGGATGATTCTCCGATGACAAAATCCTGGACCGGTTTTCGCCACGCTTCGCACTGCATGAACAAAGTTAGCTGGGGTCCTCATGAGCTGCAGATCGCGATCGAAGTAAATTATTCCGATATTAAGTGGCTTTATTTGAATAGTAAGGCGGTTGCTAACAACCATTCTCTTGCAAACACTGCCAGTCATAAAAGACATACAAGAAAGGACGGGAAGGAAGCAAAATTCGAATCCTACAAATGTTTTAAGTTTAATACAGCTCAAAACATAGAATGTCCCTACCAGTGGACCGAAAGAGTATGTCAGGAGCAAATTAATGCGGAAATAAGGACCACTGTTCTAACAAGCAGCTGTTCTGGCACTAGTCTACTCTTCGAAGATGCGCCTCCAAATCCAGTTTGTGGCTCCGAAGTCTATTCCGGAAATAAACCTAAGAAGCGAAACAAGAAAGTATTGAGCGCAGTTTCAACGAACAGCCGTTCCGACATTGGACTTGTTTTGCATGCATTGCCCTACAATCATGTTTGTGGTCTTTCATATCCTTCTGTGGATGAGTTTGAAAATCAAATCAGGAACGGGTTAGATATAGCTGCACTAACAATTAGTAGCTCCGACGTGGGACCCAAATCAGATGTAGCATCACAAAACTGTGTGTGCGGTCTCTCTGTTTCTAGGTATGACAAAGAAAAGCAGGAGGCGATGAAGTCAGCTGTTCGAACAAGCAGCTGCAGTCCCTCCATGAGACAAGTATCTGAGGCAGTGCACCAAAATCATATTTGTGGCCTTCCAGTTATTAAGAAGGAAAAGAGAGAGAAGCGAATCAAAATGGGGGCGACAAGCTCCCTTTTTAGCATTAGATCAGTCCCTGATTCAGCTCTCCAAAATCACGTTTGTGGTCTTTCAGTTTCTACTGTGGATTCAAGTGGTGAGCTAATCAAGAAGTTGGGGACCGCTTTACCGCCAAGCAACCTCTTTGCCAAAGACCTAGGATCTGATACAAAGCCACAAAATCAAGTTCATGGCCTTCCGGTTTCATCATTGAACAAGAATGAAGAGCAAATAAAGATGTTAGAGGCTGCTGTACCACAAGGAAACCTTTTGGTTTCTGCATTGGACAAGATTGATGAACGAATGAAAATGTTGAAAGCTGCGGTGCCAACAAGTAGCCTCTCCGACATGGGAGTAGTATCCGATGGAACTTCAAAAAATTTCGCTCGTGACTTTTCGGTTTCAACAATGGATGGGAGCAAATATCAGATCAAAATACTGGATGCTGCTATGCCACCAAGTAGCCTCTCTGACATGAGACTAGTATCCGATTCAACTCCAAAAAATTGTGTTCTGGACATTTCGGTTTCAACAGTGGATGGAGACGAAGATCAAATAAAAATACTGGATGCTGCTATGCCACCAAGTAGCCTCACAGACATGGGACTAGTATCTGACGCAACTTCAAAAAATGGTGCTCGTGACTTCTCGGTTTCACCAGCGGATGGGGGTCATGAGCGAATCAAAATATTGGAGATTGCCGTACCACCAAGTTGTCTCTCCAGCGAAAAATTAGTATCTGATGTAGCGCTCCAAAATTATGTTTGCTGCCCTTGGGCTTCCACAGTTGATAGTGGTGAGGAGCAGAGCAATTATGGGTGTTTTTATTCTTCACAAATCGTCAGCAATTCTGTCATGCCATCATTTCATGATAAAAATGAAAAAAATTATTTTCAATGTCGTCCGGGGTCTGCTAGGGTTATTCGTGAGGAGAAATGCAAGTATGCGTTGAAGGCCTCTGTTCAACCGAGTAGTTCCAACACTGGAATAGTATCTGATATTGATCATCAGAATAATGTTCCTGGCCACTCAGTTTCTACAGTAAATAGAAGTTGTGAGGAAGAAATCGAAAAGGCCAAGACTTCCACTGCCCCAGTTAGCAGTTACTCTTTCGTTCAAACAGTATCTTCATCAGTGCCTCATAATTTCATTTGTGACATTTCTGACTTCGCGTTGGATGACCTTAGGAAGCAAAACAAAGAAATGAGGAAATCTATTATTATAAGCCGCCATAGGTCATCAATGGAGTCAGTTGCTGATGCAGTGCTCCTAAAGCAGATACGCGACCTTTCAGTTTCTGCTGAGGATGAAAGTGAGTGGACCGATGTCCTAAGGAACAGGAGCAGTGGTCCTTGTTTGCGACTAGTGTCTAATGCAACGCCCCAAAGTAATTCGTGCGGCTATGCATGCGCCACTGTTGAGGATTGTGAGGAGCAAAACAAAGGGCTGGAGACCGATATCCAAACGAGCAGCAGTTGTAGCGATCAACTGGCTGCCAACACTGTCAAGCAAAATAATGGTTTCTTTGTTGCAGATTTAACCGTGGATGAGCGTAAAGAGCAAATAAATGTTGTTTTGATGACTGAAGTTCCGACGAGCAGCTGTACCGATAAGAGACTAGTCACTAATGAGGAACCCCTAAATAATATTTTTGCTCTTTCAGTCTCCACTGCGGATGAAAGTGAGAAACAATTCGATAAGACATTGAACGCAACTGTACCGCCAAGTAGCCTTATTGGCACTGAACTTGTATCAAATTCCGAACCTAAAAAACTATTTCATGGTCATTCCGTTTCTACAGTGGATGAATTAGCAGAGCAACCAGAGAAAATGCCTATAAGTATTCTCCCGACAAGTGGCACTGCCTACTTACCGCTAGTCAGTAATGCAGTTCCCCAAAATAATGCCGATTTCTGCACAGAATTTGCCGTGCCTTGTAGTGAAAAACAAAACAAGAATGTATTGAAGGAAACTGTTCCAACGAGCAGTAGTTCCTACACGGGATTAACCACCGACGCAGCCACTCAAAATAATGTTTCTGGGCTTTGTGATTCTACTGTGGATGACAGGGAAGAGAAAATCAAGAAAATTTTGAAAACAGGCGTTTCTAAGAGCAGTAAAAACTACATGCGAATATCTCCTGAAGCAGCAATACAAAAATATGCTAGTACCCGCACGGTATCAATCGCAGATAACAATGCTAAACAAACCACGAGAAAGGATATGAAAGCTTGTGGCATGGTGCCAGTTTCTGATGCTCAATGTTACTCATGTTCACTTCCGGTCACTAGTTTAGATGATCATATAAAGCAAAAGAAGATGGCGTGGGAAACCGACGGGCCGCCGAGCCGCAGTTCCTGTAAGCTAGCACCCCGAAATCCAGCACCACAAAATTTTGTGTACGGCGTTTCAGTTTCTACTGAAGACGATTGTAAAGAGCAAATCAACGTTGTAGTAGAGACTGCTGTTCCACCGAGCGGCCTTTCAATCAAGGGACCAGCCTCTGATGCAGAGTCCCAGAATGATGTTCCCGCGGTTTTCGTTTCTACTAGCAGCGAGTGTGAGGTGCGAACAGTAACTGCAATGAGAAACATTCCGACGAGCAGCTCTACTGGAATGCCGCCAGTACCTGATGTAGCGCTCCAAAATTATGCATGTGGCCCTACACTTTCTACTGCGAGTACGAGTGAAAAGCAATTCGAGATGGTGAACACCGAAGGAGCAACAAGCTGTATTTACTCATTCGGACCAGTATTTGGTGCTGATCGTCAAAATAATGAACGCGGGCCTTCAGTTCCTACTGTACATGAATGTGAGGAGCAACTCGAGAAGAGTCTGACTTCTACTGTCGCAACGAGCAGCAATTCAAGTCCTTCATCCATCGAATTTGAAACTTCAATGCGTATTGATAAAACTATTCCACCACAGACCGAAAACTATCCCCGCCACATAGCAACCGTACATCGACCGGCTATCTCACAAAACAGCCCACGGTCTATTTCGCGGAGTACAAAATACGACCGGAAATCTCAACGCCGGCTGGCACCAAGGCCTCCAGTAACTGCTCAACCTTCGATTATGTCGGATAATAAAAATTATAATTCAAATATTCATTATAATTCGAATTTTTCATTCGAAGCTTCAACCGATCACTCCAATGCTTGGCGTCACACTACTCCAGTATTGAAGAACGAAAACCGGTCTCGATACCAAAGATTCCTTGACATTATTTGTTGCAGGAAGCAACAGAAAGACAACATGAATACTCCCAATTGACGTAATTCAGCAACTTAATCGCAATTAGTTCTGACTCGAAAAATTTTGTGGCGTGATTCGCTCTCACGTGCAAATTCATTATTTTGGTAATTCAAAATTCGTCTCGAGTACTATTCCTGTAATCTATGAGGACGTATTTTATTTATTAAGTTAATTTTGTGTATATTGTGACTTATAATCAGCAACACCAACGTACACTCCATGTTTCAAAAACCACTATTACAAATTCTAAATATTCACGTTGTCGACTATGAGCTTCACAATAATAGGTAAACTTTGAAGCTTTGCATTAGGTTAGCTGGTTCTTTTAAATTAACGAAACAGTGCCTGGATGATAAATATTTGGCAAGCAACTCAGGAAGAAATACAAAGTAATCAATGTATTCAATGCAATCAACTAAAGTAACTGATGCTCCTGTGTCCGTGTATGTCGCTTCAATAAAATTGCAGCATCATTTGAAACTTCCATTTGTTTTATTTCTATGCATTCGTCATTGGGGGCAAATATTGCGAGCGTATGGGTGTAAGGGGACGCGGAAACACACTCCTTCAGTTTCTATAACCCTGTAAAAATCTTAAGAAAAATAAAAATGTAAAAAAAATTACCGCAAATACTTATTTTCTTATTATTAAATGAACAATTTGAAAATTATGGTAGCACTATTTCACAGCTACAGTCAATAAAATGATTTAGTCATACAATGATTTATCGCATTTGCGCGTATATCATTACTTACCATGCAGCATAAAAGGAATTGTGTTGGTGTTTTCCTCCTGGATGCCCGTTTTCAAAGCATGTAATTAAAGTTGCTGACGATTTGAAGTGGAGTAGTTTTTTGTAATTCATCAATTCGCAGATATGCATTTTGCAATTCAATAAAATTATCTCGGAAGCAACAAACTACCAAAAATTACTATTAACGACTTGCTATTCATGATTAATGTTGACATTCACGACGAAATGGTTGTATTTTACGATGCAAGAGTATCTCCGAAACAGAGGTGCATTGTTGTAAGTTTGTAGTCAATTTTTGAAGTTTAAAGGAGGAGTGGTACATAGATCTCTCTACAATGTTGTTTCTGAGTGAGGACGTGTAAACGATAAACTACATAACTGCAATAAAACACAAAAAACAGTTGTATGCTGCAATGAAGCACAAAAAAATAGTTGGGTGCGCAACCTCGCTGTGGTACTGAGCACGGCTGTTTATCTGCTTGGTAATTCTTGGTAATTTTCAAGCACCAGCTTCCCTAGGCATCTGGCGCTTTGATCAGAGCAATTAACAGCAGTTTATCTCAAATTAATTCTTGTTGACGACCAAGATCGTGTTCTCTATGCTGTAGCATGGATACCTGATCCATGGATACGCGCGCTGTAGCATGGATACCTGATTTGTAACGAGTAGTTCAAAATTTTAAGGTGAATTAAACGAGATGATTGTCTACTTTTGAAAATGAATTATTCCGTTAAAGCTAACAGCTAGGAAAAAATTGTCAAATTATTATTTAAAAATTGACAAATTATTGCAGACGTGACATTTTAAAATCACTTGAAGTTTTAATCGTACGGCCGAACAGTTGAAACTTAATAATAAAGTGGTCTTGAACTCTGACACTTATTCAATTTATTGATGGATGCTCACATCGGCCTAATCAAATAGACATACTTACAAATTCTTCTCTTCAATTTATGTATTCCACGATTTAAACTATACTATCGTACGCGATCTCGTCCTTAAAGCGTTTTATAAAATGTTACTGAAAATGCAAATTGCGACCCAGAAACCCTGCCAGTCCGCCACAGATTTTGGCCGTCAAAATGCGACTTTCTCTCGGAGTCACAATTCCAGGAACTCTGTCATTCCAATGTCCCAACAGACTCAACCGACCATTTCTTCAATGTAAATGGCATCACACCATTGATGAATAACGATAAGCGGTCTCTGTTAAAAGTCTTCCAGGACTTTATTTGCCATAGCAAGAAACAAGGCAACAGAGCTTAAGTAAACCCCTTCAGGCGGTCATTCAGTCATAAAGTAGAACATTTAGATTGTGCTAAGTCTCGATCATTTTTTAATATTGTGGCATGATTAAATTTTAAATGGATAACTTTTGGATTAATTCATGGGTGTTGTTACCCATTGCTTTGACGATTTTATTAGATTGATTATACTTTTAATGAACACGGTCCTAAGGATTTTCAGCAACAAAGGTGTTAACGAACGAATGCTCAATAACTTTATTTAGCCAATACTTGGTTATAGGCAACAAATGGATCAAATTTTATAACCTATCAAAGCGTCCCCCATTGCAGCCCACTGTGTAAAATTTTTAAATGTCTCCTATATCAAAAGTTTTTTGTGACGTTTTTCGTTACGGAGAGCTTGTTTTCTAGCACTACGAACTACGTGGCGCTCTTCGTAATAACTTAAATAAAATAAATAAGCGAATGATCTGCAACATGTGAAAAATGCAATGTTTGAGAAGTTTGAGCCAAAATTCTATAATATTGAATAAATTTGTTAGAACCACATCTTTTTGCACAAGGATTCAATTTATACTGGGTATATATATAGAGGTCTACCGTGAGGTACGAATCAATCGTATAAATATTGTAGAAATATCGATATTCCTCTGCATTCAGAACATAGTATGTTATATCATTCCTAGTTTAATTAATGTCTCTAGCAAAATGATGTTAGACGCGTTACAAACGGGTAATCGGCCATTGTTGCAACATCATCAGTTCAAGTTGGCCGCGCACTCAGTAGCAGTGATGTGATGAGTGGGCCAGCGTCACTGTCAGTACATCGCAAACCGGTTCTGTGTTTCATAATCAATGCCAGAATCAGAATAGCGAACAATTGATCTCGTTTATCATAAGCACGGTGTAATAGGGTTATGTTGCGTGAAATCGTAGAATTAGGTCATTAAATAAAATGCTTCTGGATAACGAACTTTCAACAAAATTTACGTCGAAAATAAAACAATGAGAGAGCTCGCTGCTCAGAACACTTGTGCGACGCTCACCAGCTGGACTAACTTTGAGTCATTGAGAGTTTCTGGCTGACGAAACTGCGACTTGGTTCACTCTCTCCATAACTTATTATAATATCAGCAGGCCAGACAGTTATTAGTTGAGATCCCCAATATATTCAAGAAATGTACAACTTCGTTGTCTCTACTTCAGGCGACTTGTTGTTGCTAGTCTCCTAACCTTCTTCAGGCTACATGTTGATAGTCTTTTAGTCCCCAAAATATAGTGAGACTTTTATTCAATATAAGTTTATGACCTGTTACTCCCACTCAGCGTGTGATTTTCCCTTGTCGGGTTCTAAATGCGTGGAACAAGTACACCCGTCGATGACTCTTGATTCGTCACTCTGCAGATATTGGGTTAATAGGTTAACTCGCCGCTCAATAAAAACTGAATAATACTTGCCAGTGGTCAGAACTACAGTTCAATTACAACATTAGAACTAAGCAGCTGTTTCAAATCGATCGCGCAATAAAATGATGGTTCAGGCTGGGTTTGTCCAAAAAATTGATTGTTTCTATTGAAGGCCGGCGACATACATAAGTCATAAGTGCTGTGGCGACTTGTGGCTTTTTAGCGCATTTTCTCATTTATGGAAAAAATGCACTATTGTGCTCGCCATGTCCGTCTGTCTGTCCGTCTGTCCGTCCGTCCGAGACCTCAAGTTTTCGTCGACGAGAAAATGCGCTCTCTGTCACTCACTTCAGTTAGTACTGAGTTATATTTTTTGTGGCTTTTGGGTAATGATTAGCGGGGGTTCTTGTCTTTAGTCCATATCTCTTACATTGTTACCTTCTCACTTGCCGCAATGAATTTGAGCTCATATTTTTTACTTTGAATTGATTGTTGACATGAGCAACTCTTTTCTGTTATTTGCATTCATTATTTTTAGTTTATTTTTTTTCGGTCCGTGTCCGATTGGTTTCGTTGAATAAAAAATCTTATATTGAAAAAAAAGTTTGCACAAGAATTTTATCTCTGGCATTAATATCCCTCACGATTTATATCACTTGCCTCCAAGTAGATGAAGTTTATGTTGGAATTTTCAACCATCCCACAATTCTCAGTAGTGTGAAGCGTTCGAATGAAAGGGATAGTGGGACTATTCTCCAAGCAGTAAAGCCACTAGTCAATTCATTTCGATGACTCCAAGGAAGCCGTTCTGAAGGAAATGCTAGTGACGCAAGGCATCACCAACGGCCGAGCGAAATTCCGGAGTCGAGTACGTCGTCACTGTTCACTGATACATTAACATACGTTCTTTACTTCGTCCAGTAGCTCTTTCCATTTTGTTGTTGTACGTGCATTGTAAACCTGGCAACGACTGCGAAGTCTTAGCTAGTGAAAACGACAGAAAATGCATTGAGAATCGTTCCCACAAGCAGCTCTTCCGGAATGCCGCCAGTACCTGATGTAGCGCTTCAAAATTATGCTTGTGACCCTTCACTTTCTCTTGCAAGTGAGAAGCAATTCAAGCTGTGAACACTACAGGAACAACAGTTGTCTTTGCTCGGTCGGATCAGTATTTGTTACAGATTTTCAAAACAATGATCAAGGCCTTTCGCTTCTCACTGTGGAAGAAAGTGAGAAGCAACTCGGGACGGAATAGACTTTCGTTGTCCCAACGAACAGCAATTCAAGTCCTTCATCCATCAAACTTTAAGCTCCGATTTGCACTGACATCACAATACAGCCTATGTTCCATTTCGCATAATACAAATTGAAACAGAAAATCTCCGCGGAGTCAGGCACGAAGCCCTCCTTCAGTCACTGCTCAACCATTATTTATGCCGGATACTACTAATCAGAATTCGGATGCGCCAGAATCTTCAACTGATCATTCAAGTGTTGCGGATAGCACCTCCCCAATATTGAAGAATGATACAGGCCTTGATACCGAATATTCCTGGGCGTTATTTTCCGCAGGAAGCAACAAAGAGACAACTCAATACTTCCAATTGACCAAATTCAGCCTATACAGTATACTGCAGGTCGTACTAACTGAAGAACACATTGTGGCATGATTCGTTCACATGCCCTTTTTTATCCAATATTCGGCAAGACTTTAACTTTAGTCTAATATGTGAACGCATTTGCACTATTAAGTCAATTTTATATTCATCGTGTTTTATTTTATAAACGACACCAAAGTTTGCTCCGATGTATCAAGTCCTTCCATTGAATAGTTAATCACACGTTAATCACAATTCATGTTACAATCGGCATTTGATGTCGATTCCCCAAAATAAAGGTGCATTATCAAAGTGTGGTCTGATTGATTAGATACAAAAAGCTTATTCCAGGAGTTGTACATCCATTCCTCAAGAAGCTTGTTGCTAAGTAGAAAGGCTGTCAACGACAGATACCAACGATATAATTGGAAAGAAGCACATACAAAAAGAAAGATGCGACACCTCGTTTGTGAGCACCGCAGCTCATCTCATATTAATTTTTGTAGCGGATCATAGATGAGTTCTTTATTATCATATAAAAATTATGTAACATGGATACCTGATTTATAGCAAGTAGTTTTTAAGTTTATAGATCTGGAAGGTTCAGTTGTCTCAACTTTCAAGGAATAAATCGATAATTATTGCTCAGGTAGCATTTTGAAATTAGTCGAAGTTTCAATCGAGGAGCCACAGTTTTGAAATTTAATTCCCCAAGTGGTCGTGAACACTTATTCATATTTTGAAGGATGTTCACAAGGACACTATTCTTAAAATATCCTTCACTGTTATCACAAACAAAATATCACAAACGCGCAAACGGCAATTCCAGCAACTTCAGCGTCAAGGCCGGCTGTTAACCAGCGATGGGTGCGCCAGCATAAGGCATCGTTGCCAATCGCAGTACTGTTCTTGTTTATCATAAGTACGGTGTTATAGGGTGATGTTATTTTTCAAATCGATCGTTAGTAAAATTATATCTCGATTAACAAGTTTCAACTTAAGGACACGGTGAAAATGAAAAACTGTGAAGTAGCTCTGAACACTAGTGAGACGCTCACCAACTGGACAAACTAAATGCTTGTGTAGTGACTTTTGAGTGGCGTAACTGGTACTCGATTCACTATTCTCAACTATTTTCCGCGATGACATCCAAACATTTTTGGATTTCTAATTATCTATATGATGGAACCTTAACTTTTTGAGAAAAGTTTAAGTCGCCGATGTACAAAACCAAAATCGGTAAAAATTTGTTCAAACTTCCATGTAGTCTCGTACATGTTACATGCACGCAGTGAGTTTTTGTACATAAATTTTGGTCCAGTTAGTGCCGTTCAGCGAGCAACTTTCTCTTGTCGGATTATAAATGTGTGAAACAAGTACATATATCGACAATGACAAATCAGTTTCCATACAATAGGTTCATCTCCTATCTCGCAGCTCTTCAATAAAACCGAATAATTCTGGTCAGAACAACGATTTGTAGACTGGTAAATGTAGGTTTCTATTACATCATTATAGCTACGAAGCTAATTCCGTATCGCTAAAAAATTACTGTACAGTGTTCGTAAAAATAAATCGTTTCTATTGAAAACCATGGGTGAGGAGCAACATGGGTGCTGTGACGATCTAAGTGGCCTTGTTGTAATGCCGTTACGGCGTTTGGATGTTTCCGTCTCTATAGTCGATAAATGTGTTTACCTTCGTGCCTATCAAAATGAATTGGAGTTAATTTTTTTAATTTTAATATAGACTTGATTGATTCTTTCGTTCGGAGGCTGTCTTTGGCAAGTTGTGTCGTGTCAAAATATAAAGTTCAAATTAGTGTAGTACGTAGTAGAATATTATCTCATTAACTCAACATATTTTATCTAATTCAATCTTTTGCCTTCAAACAGATTAATATTTCATTATAATTGTCAAACATCCGACAATACTGAGCTGTTGAAAGTTTGAACCGTCTAAACGAAATGGACAGTGGGACAGTTTTTCAAGCAGTAAAGCCTCTAGTCAATCCGACGTATGCTTATCTCGATGAAATTAGCCGATGCGTTCACTTCGATGACTTCCAGGAAGCCGTTCAAAAGGGAATGCTGGTGCCGCAACGGGTCACCAACGGCCGAACGAAACTCCGGTGTCAAAAAGTACGTCACACATATCTTTTACATTTCTTCAAGATTTTCTGTGTCTCTATTTCGATTTGTTACTGTAACTTTATATGACGTTGCATTTCGGCTTCTTTACTTTAAAGAACTCAATAAATTTATGTTAAAAACTGGTACGAAGATGAATTCAGATTAATCTGCCTAATTCCCTGACTGAGATTTCTGTACACCCAAATAACAGCGTTTTGTACAGCACATCTTTTGGATTATTGTCTCATTTATTTTCTTCGCCAAATCTGCATACACATATCGAATTTTCAGGTATTGTGGTTCGCTCCATCGCGCTCAAGCTCCGATCACAATTTCTTTGGCAACGTCAGCTTCACCGTCAGGTGGGAGACCGTGCAACAGAAACTCGGACCAAACCTCTACTTCATCGACCAGGCAGTTTTTAACTCGAGAAGTTGTACTCGGGTCTTGTTAACTAAAAAAAATTATGACGGTAGGTTCAGGAAAGTTGATTTGAATGTACTTCATTCGCCTCTGCAAAAGTGTCGGCCTGGTTTTATTTATGTGTCGCACTGTATGAACAAAGTTCGCAATGGCCCTCACGTTCTGGAAATCGCGATCGAAGTTAATGATGCCGATGCCAGGTGGCTTTACTTGAACTGTAGGCAGGTCGCCAACAACCACAGTGAGGCAAACACTCGCGTAAGAAATGCTAGGACTTACGGACCAGAATCAAAAGTTCAAGGAAATAAATGCTTGAAGTTCAACGCAGCTCAAAACCTTGTGTGTCCCTACCAATGGACTGTGGCTGAGTGCGAGGAGAAGATAGATGCGGTCTTCCAGAGTACTCGTAGCGCTACCGAAATCGGCCTAAGGAAATCGGTTTCCAGAGAGATAAATATCCCCATTTTCAGAAATCATGATCCGAATTCATCTTTTGATCTCAAATCGTCTGATGATCTCAATTCATCTGATTATCTCAATTCATCTTATGAACTCAATTCATCTTATGATCGCAGTTCATCTTGTTATCTCATCTTCTTATCCATCTTCTTCTTATTCTTATTCATCTCCAATTTTCCCGTTTTCATGTTCTTCTTCTTATTCATTTATTTCTTTTTAGACAGGATATGAAATGAGAAAAGATGAATAGTCAGAATATGCATGGCCAATATATGAAAGAAGTATACGAGGATATCCAGCTCGAGTTGCAGCTCCACCACAGAAGCAGAACTGATGGGGTGGGCCTTTCCTGACTGCCGCTGCAGCAGCAGCTGGTGTTTGGTTCGTCATCAGCGCATCATTTCGGAAGCCAGATGTGTTGTTCGAGACTGCTAGATATTTTTTCTTTACTGTCAAATGCCATAAGTTCAAGGCTCGAAAATACTGTTGGGCAGGCCAAATTAACTTCTAAGCGATCAAATTTATTTCTCAGACAATTGGCAATACATTTAAGCTGCTCTGTATGGATCCATTTGTGGACGCCAGGGAAAAATTGTTAGAAATAAATGTAAAACAGGTTGATGATTAATTTTTTTGGGGGGGGGACATAATTATTCATCTATTTATAATAAGAAAAAATTACCTAATCTGTAATTGTCTATCATGGATGAATAGTCAAAAGGAGTGAAGAAGTCTAGAATGAGTGCGAAACAAATGGGCTTCGAAATTAACGCAATTATCGGTACAAACGATAAATCGTCTATCGATAAATGGTCTATATTCCCGCTTATTGATCAGGTTGTAAGGGGACGAATGTTATTGTAAATACTAGATGATGTATGTTATTGTAAATATTAGATTAGTAATTTCTATTTTAGGTTTTTAGTCACCACTGACGTGACCTCGCGTAAGAATCCTCTATGTCGTGTCATTCGTTTGTGCAATTCCACAACAGAGGTACGTGGTTCTTTTAGTCGTGTTTATTTTCAATGTTGACAGTGCCCTGGTGTTTAAGTGAAGTTTTTATTGATCTTTTAGTGCATATTTGTAGTTATAGTTATTCATGTATCATATGTCATCCGTGCTATATTTCTGCGTTTATTAGTTTATTTATTTCATTAGTTCTAATTTGGTGTTTTCGTTTTTAAATGTGCAGAAAGGCTCCGATACTAGAACTTGCTTCGATCATTATTGAAAATAGTTGTCGGCCTAATGAAAACGCACGGTTTTGTATTGTTTATTTATGTGTTTGGTATTCATTGATAGGTTGTTTCAATTATTATTGTTTGTTCATTTATTCAGTTGTATTAATCCTTCTTAATGGCAATAGATATTGCAACACGATTATAAGTGAATGTCTGGGGCCACTGACGGCTTTATTTATATATCATTTATTTATTGAATGGGCCCCGACAAGTTAAATGATCCGTTACTGGTCGCCTCACCGTCCGTTAAACTCAACCTTGATTCAATTTACTGGCCGCCGCTTGCTAGCGACCCATGAAGCAGCCACTAATCTTCTGCACCAGGCCAGTAGTACGATAGCTGGGCTGCCTTTATTCTCGGATCAGATGAAACTATCAAGACTATATCATCGAGAAGGTAGACTGGAGCTTCAATCTACGACTGTGCAAGCCAATTCTACCCGAACTATACAGTGAGAACGCTCTGCGGACGCCGAGAAATATAAAAATTTGCTGATGATCAATGATGCTTGTAGAAAATTATGTATTAATAAATACGTATTATATTTTTTAAAAATACGCATATTTGTCCTGTTTTTTCTGGAAAGGTGATTTTTGACCGCGAAAATTCTTCAATTTTGGCTTTTCAACGGCCAGATTTCAAATTTGGTATAACTCGCAAATGAAGCCAAAATTTAAAATTTTTGCAAATCGACGTTAGTTAATTAGAAATTTATATTCAAAGTTTAGTTTTGATCTGTTCTTTAGATTAGAAAATATTTTATACTCTGCGAATTTCGGTTTGTACGAGAGTATAAGTTGCGAACGAAGGCGAAATCGCAATAATTTTTGCGACCTTGACATCATCGTTTGTTCCTGATGAAAAAACGTGCAAAGTTTCATCAAGATGCGTTCATTAATTTGGGAGACATTCTATCTGACAGTACATTTAAAATCTGGGAGACCCGTTGAAGTGCCCCAGAGCTGGAATGATGAGAGCGGGGACTGGGCACACACGCGAAAATCAATCACTGATTCTATACAAATCCCCATAATCCACTCGGCAAAATAGCGCATACTCACTAATATTGCTTAAAACAGTAATACACTCATTAATTGCCGCATGAATTGGCTCATTGCCACATAAGGTTGTGGAGAATCAACAGAAGTAGCACAGCGAGTGAGGAGTGATAAATTTGGGTGAATTAATAACTTTTTCGGTGAATTTCATCACTACATGACTACGCTCTATCCTACATGAATATTCAGTGCTAACAAATTGTGCTTATATCAGCCATGACCGCGTCAGGTTTCATATGTTTTTTAGGGCCGTTGGTCACCAATTTTAGGAAGCTTTCAGAGTCAAATTTGAAGGTTGGCGAGGCCCAGAGAAATAATGTAATAAGGAGAGTTGACGCGGGATAGATTACAATTTATTCCGGTAGTTATAAAATTAGAGTGCTTGGAAAAACAGACTGGACGGCGTAAATAAAACGTCGAGTAAAGACAAGCGTAACAATAATAAAATGCAGGAAGGAAATATGTGAGATGTTCTCTGTGTATAGACGAGACCTCTAAAACGTTCTACATTAGTTGAATGCAATGCTAAATTACTCGCAGGCTAAACTTTGTAATCGCTGGTCCACGGACTTGCTAGCCGATCCGAAATATTCAGAATGGCCCGAAGGATCAGGGGCCATACTTTCAAAAAAACTCAAGAGATCGTAAGTTCATTAGCCTATCATTGACGGCCTTTCAAGCAAAATCCACCAATCATAGACAAGAAAATAGAGCGTAAGTACATACGTTCACTTAGCGAGTTTTGAAAGCATGGGCCCAGGAAACATATTCAATAAGATGCTAGGTACGGTACAATAGACTAAGAAAATCCTAACCGGAATTTAGCACAGGATTGCAAAGTTTACATGAATCGATCTGTCAATTTTATATTAATTAGTTACGCAAACAGACTTACTATCCAACAATTTTCTGTACCCTCGTATTTAGGGATTTGCTATCAGGATTAACTATTATATTCACAATGCATCAGAGATAATTCTCAAAGTATTTAAGATTTAATCCACTATCATCCAATCTACTGAAAATTATCTTCTAATCATAAAAAATGTTCACTTTTATTTCAGAAGAGACATATTTTTCCATAAATTTAATGACTTAATTTTGCAACGCTGAGTTGCTTCCAACAATTAATAATAGCGGTTTCAGCGTTTAGTAGGCCGTAGGCCTGTCGCCGATTCTTAACATCGCAGAACATTCACAGTATTTTGCGGTCTCAAACTCGCAACTCACTGCTACAATTCTGCTGTGCTTTAACCACCCGGCCTCCTTGCCAATTCTGACCAGAAACTGGCGCACAGAGCTGGAATCGAACCCGCGCCTCTCTGCGCCAATCTTGGTAATCTGAACTTTAACCACTGGGCCACCCTGCCCAATTAACATCACAGTACCTAGATCACACAGAAGTTGTACCATTTTCTGGAATTTGATGCACTTGGCTGATATGAGATCAAATTTTATGAAAGTTGATCCTCTGATTTAGGTTCTCATGAGATATGAATTTATCAAAACCGACGATGTCAATGGCAAGAGTATTTTTCAGAGTAGCCTGCAGTCGATGTGTCAATTGCTTCAGTAGACCTACTAAGGTTTCGTCTTATCAGTGTGCGCAAGTGTTCTAAGTACAACGGTTCATAGTGACAAGTTCAATTGTTAATTAACTGTGGTTGCATAGCATAATAGAATTACATGTTTATCCCGTGACAGTTAATTGATCCAGGACCTATCAACAGTAAACGTGAGCAAGTACGTGCGGCATTTGAGACGTGTGATTACTGGACGCGAATGCGTAAATTAAGAAACGAAAACATGGGGCAAATGGGATTTTCATTAATCCATAAGATATTTCAAGATTTCGAAACTATTGCCGGTTTTTTTTTATTTATGGAGATAAGCTAAATTATTTTAATCTTTCTATCAACTCATACGGTGCTAACTTAATGTGATAGGTAATGCAAAATTGTTTATAGATTGCCCATTTAAGACAGATTTATTTAACCGTTTTTCTTACCCATAATTTCATGGTCTTGCTATATAAATATCCATTGACAACTGAGCATTTCGGTCTTAGCTCATTTTAACTACTCAATATGTTATTGCTCAGTTCCTAATGATGAGCAGTTGCAATTGAAGCGATTTATTCAGTTTATATTTATAGTCAACGGTCATTATCCATTAACCAATATTGAAAGCAGTTAGAGCACAACACTATTTTTTCAACCATTACATATTTTTGAAGCCAAGCATTAGGGCATAAAAATCTCCGTGTTAAATTTTCAACGAATATCTCTCAAATTTTTAATTTTTCGGTCTCCGGAGAACATTGTGTCATGTAATGGGAAAAATAAAGTTTTTACAATTTATCCTAAAATTTAATGCCGTTGCGTTCAAAGACTATAATGAAATTTAATATTTCGTTCAATATACAAAGTTCACAAGTTGACAGCAAATTCCGCCCGCCAACTTATAGTCTTGCAGAGGCTATCATTAGCTCATCGCTGTAATATGTTAGTGCGTAAGAGGCTCAAATAATCTCTGTTTGTCACCGTCAATCGGTTTGTCATTTTTTTTAATTCATCAAGATCAAATCAACCAATAAATTGGCGATGAATATTTTTGGCAAAAATTAACTCAATAATTATGATTTGCACTGGAAAACATACTAGAATCAATATTATGCATAAAATCAAAATTTGTACATGTACATATTTAATGTCATTGCAGAAACTCCGAAAATTATTTAATTTGGGGAATCTTTCGAAAGGGATTCCAAGCTTCTTGTTATCGATATAAGATAATCATTTTCGGATACGGAATTCCCAAATAAGTCTTTTTCGTATGCTCAAAAAATTTCAAGCGCTGTGGTTTGCTCCATCACATCCCAGTTATCGGCACAATTTCTACGGCAACGTCAGCTTACCAATCAAGTGGGAGACCGTACATCAAAAATTGGGGCCGAAGCTATACCTAACCGACGAGGCTATTTATAACGCTAGTAGCTTCACCAGAGTTGTGTTTACTAGAAATAATTATGACTGAATTTTGAAGAAATTTGACTTGGAATCGGATTATTCCCCGATGACAAATTCCTGGACTGGTTTTTTGCCACGCTTCGCATTGTATGAACAACGGGAACTGGGGTCCTAACGAGCTGCAGATTCCGTAAATTATTCCGATATTAAGTGGCTTTATTTGAATAGTAAGGGGGTTGCCATCAACCATTCTCTTGCAAACACTGCCTGCCAGTCATAAAAAAAAAACATACTAGAAAGGACGGGAAGGCAGCAAAATTCGAATCCTACAACTGTTTTAAGTTTAATACAGCTCAAAACCTAGAA